CTTGACGCAAATAGTAAAGAAAACAGATCCTAGAGGATTGTATAATCTACATGCAATTACATTCTCACTGTCTCATTGTACGAGATAATTTAGGATTTATCCTTCTCAAAGTTTTATATTTCTTACTAGAACTTTACCAACATTTAATCCCTTTCCCACAAAAATAACCCAGGTTGATCCAAACCCTTTCAGTTTATTTCCTTTTTTCCCACTCCTGCCTGCTTTCCCTTCTTTGTATGTTGTATTTCTCTCAAATCCTCCATGTTCTAGATCCCTTTTACCCAATCTTTATCTTCTAAGTAACTTTCCCTTGTGATCCCTATTTACTGCTAAGTGTAACACTTTCTGTTACATCTTGCCCTAATATGTTTCTATAACTTTCAAAATTTCATCCAACATCCCCAACACCTTTGTTGAATCTGTTGCCTCATTTGTGTCCCTTTCCTTCAGCTCCTTTCACAGCCTGTCCCATCCAACTCTCCTACCCTCAGTACCCCCATATGTTCCCCTCCAATTCCCCTAGCCTCAGCACACCCTCTTGCTCTTAACCCTACTCCCTTCAATAACTCTCTATTCCCTGCCCCTGCCTCTTGATCCCTGCCCTATCTCCCTCAAACTCATCAACCTGAAGTACACCCCTGCCTTTTCCCCTTTGTCCCCTGCACCTATCCCCCTTCAACTTCCATATCTACAGTACACAGTTGTGTGATATCTATATTCTGGTGTATATAGGACAATGGATACAAAATGTACCTATGATTAAGGTCACATATTATTGTGACTGCCTGCCTACAAAGATCAGACAGTTTGTCACACTGAAGCCAGCCGCTCCGCCCGTCAACACCCACTCAACTTCCCATTGTCTCTTGGCTGTCTTGTCACGCCCCAACGAACACACAATGGGTCCAATCTTCATGCTAGTTTTTCCTCGCTCATCCGCGACTCCAGTGCAATGTTATCATTATGATTATGTAGGTGTTTTCAGGGGAATACATTTTCACTAGTGGCTTATTGTTGACAGAGCTATTGTTAGCTCCGGTAGTTTTGTCGAGATAAGTGATCAGTATTTAGGAACTAGGGGGTCTAATCCAGCCTGCCTACCGCTATTAAACACACCTGAGTGTGAATAGGCATATACACTACCTCCTGGGCAGGGTTGGGTGAGGTAATAGTCAGTCGCCCAGGTAAGTGACACCAGTCGCTTGATCGGCCCGCGTGAGTCGGGTTGTGCGGGAGTGTCTTATCCAAGTGCTGCGCTGTATACAGCTGATGGTAATTTACATTGACGCGTGGGCTAGTTATCCTCACAGTATCATATTAATTGTAAGCGTCATATCCAGGAAGTGGTTGTGTACAGTGTGTTTTGAGACTTGTCGGGTCATTGTGATTCGGAGGATAACTGAAAACCAACATGCATCTTTCCGTGGCGGAGGAAATTCACTTACATTACTTATACAAGATGAACCATTGTCTTGCGTGTCCTCCAGTTCTACCTTACCCACCGGGCCTTCCATCGGTATGTTTATTGTTTTTGCTCTCTCTCTCACCTGTTAACGAGGTCAAGTATCTTGATCTACTTTTACCAATTAGATGACGTAACCAATTAATGTCAAGATTTCCCTGATGGCCTTTAAGTCTAATTTTGACGAGTTTCATTACTATTGTTTATAACTGTCTGTCTGACGCTGTCAGAGCATATATATACACATAACCTAACTTCTCAGACAAGAATTCTTTTAGAGTATAATTTTATTAACTTTCCTACCCCCAGTGACCTTTGGCAGACTATAGCATACTTTTGAGTGTGACCCCCTGGGGTTTTCTGGTGATTTTAATATGAGGGTGTTTTATTTGTGTGATTTTCACTGTCGTCACTGCTTTTGTAACTTGTACAATTTATCCTTTGTATATGATAAGTACTACCAATCCTATAATTCACAAATTAGATTAAATTAAATTGAAGTAAATTGCCACTGGAAGTTTGAAACCCTGGGAGGATACACTATATATTCCATATTTTCTCTGAGGGATTACACATTTGGAGGAAAGCATGCCTGAGGGCAGGGATCAAATCCCCAGGGGATGAAATAGACATTTAATAATGTGGATTTCATTTTTATTACTAATGTATGAATTAAGAGATGACGTTTTTGACACAGAAAAATTCTGGGACTTTAATAAGCCAGAACATCCTTGTATGAAAACTTCCGGGGACTGCTAAGGGTGACCCAAGGACCAGGTTGGGTTGTTTGTAACCACAGCAGTACAGATGTGACCCTGGGGGCTGTAACTCTAGGGTCATGTTACGAGGCCATGGTGACAGGCACTGCATTACACCACTAAATGTTAACACTTCAACTTCTCAACAAGTTTGATGGAAAATTGATGTCTGTATCTGTCCGAGGTTAAGTGGTTCATGAATGCGACTTTGTGAACAATTGGTGACGTTGAATTTTCCAAGAACTTTTCTGTACAATTTCTTGTTGTGGTATTTGAATAATGACAAGCGTGGTCAAATAGTGGAACAGTAGTCTATTTTATGTAATGAGTATTAAGGTTGAGATCATGACAGAGATTTTCTTGAGATGAGTGTTACAACGTTTACTTTATATAGTTGAAAACTTTTGCTGGGGTTGTGTCAACCTTGGGGTGCTAAATTCAGGCCCTTCCTGGTACATCACCTCAGATAACCCTGACTCCCCAGGGAGCTGTCTGTCGATTATGAAATATATCTCCTCCACTTTATAGATATGAAACAAGACTACCATATTGTTGTAACCTATGAACACTCAAATCAACACTTCAGCTCCTCGCCTTCTGATACCTATATTGATTTTTACGTTAATATTATCGAGAAATAGGTTTAATTGAAAGTCTCCATATCTGCAGGTAACTGTGCCACCTGGGGTGGTAATACATGATTGTGTTAAAAAATAGCAACTTCATGATGACATTTTGTGTGTGCTTTAAATGAAGATTTGCATTTCGGCATTTAAAAATTTGTGCCGGCAGTTTTAAATCTCTTGTCCTGTCATTGGTGATTCAGTGATATAGCTATGAAATGTATCTCATACATTATCAAATTTTCTCCTGGTTTATATTTTCTTTGACTTCCAACACAATGCCTCTCATATTATCCAAACCAGTTTTCCAAATAACAGCTACCTGCGTTTAGCATTCTGCTGCCACAATACAGGTTTACAAAAGATATTTTATCATGTTTCTTACAAAAAAAAGTAAAAAAATGTCAAGATTGTGTAACTAGAGAGGACTTTTAGGGTGTGATGATGTTGTGAATATGAAGATTAGAAAAACTTTGTTTAATATACATCCTGTAATAAAGTAAGACATTTACCTGTTGTTAAAATCTGATTTAGCTGACCAAGTGTTAAAGATAAAAGGTTTTTAAACATACCAGGTAATTCAAATCAATTGTATGTGAATCTCGTGTAAGACTTGAATAAAGGAGTGAAAGAAATCTCCATCTTGCATGTCGTTTCTCGGTTGGAGACATAATTTATTTCACCTTGAAGATAATATGATATGAACAACAATGCCATGAGGTCATATGTAACCATTGCTAGGGGAGCCAGTATTTCACGAGAATATAGAACTTTTGCATACTTTGTTAAGAAAACATGAGAAAAAACAAAAACAACAAAATTCCAGCATCCATTTTAGAGAATCAGTCATTTTACACTTGAAGGTATACATGTAGAACAAACTGGAGTGTAAAACCTACTAAAGGGTCTCTGGATGTTTTTCAGATCTTGGTGCCGTGAATGCATATTTTAAATCTGCACTCCTTTTTTCAGTCATTTCATTATTGTGTAGATTGTATAAATTATCGTCTTATTCTTTTGTTATCTATGAAGTCAATATTTACTTTTTTCACTTTTCACTAATCCATTTATTCACTCTTCCCCATCCTACCTGTACCTGTCCTCGGCAGCAGGGCGTGTTGCACGGAGCTACAAGATAGCTAGGCAAGGAAGGAAATGAGTGTATTAACACCAGATTGATATGTTGATGACGTAGGAGAGACTAGAGATCTCGTTTTAGCTTACCTGATTAACATTTAATAGTACAGGTGTGGCAAGTCGTCTGTATCACCTGGGGTTTAAGCTTGTTACCTATAAACTTTAATGTACTCCACCTTTGTCACACCCTGGTGCTGTCTAGGCCTTGGTAGTGGCTGGGCTCTGATTTATGTCTTCCTTACCACAAGGTGTTGTTTATGCTCCGAAATCTTTTAAAAAGATGTGCTATTTTGACCTAGCTCACCTTGTTAAAATTTTGATCTTAGTGTAGGGAGATATTTAAGGTAAGGTGTGTCACAGGGTATTAAAACTACATATGTGATATTTTGTATCATGAATCCTGATTGTATAGTTTTCTGTAGTGAACAGGTAGCTTTAGATGTGTATATATATACAGACCTCTGTTATAAAGGGGAATTCTTACCTGTCATTGCAGTCAGGTGTCAATTATTAACATTTGGCCAATATTGACAGGTGGCCAATATTGACAGGTGACCATTATAGAGAGGTGGCCAATATTGACAGGTGACCATTATAGAGAGGTTTTCATTGCAATCAAGGGTCTATTACAGATAGGTGCTATTACAGACAGGTGTTAATTATTGACATGTGTCATTTATAGACAGGTTTATGTTACAGACAGGTGTCATTATGGTTGTGTGTCCATTATAGACAGGTTTTCATTATAGACAGGTGCCTTTTATGGACTGCTTTTCATTAACTGAAGTGCTCATTATAAAGAAATTTTCATTATAGACCAATGATTTTACACAAAGATGAACAGGATTTTCAAGTATTGGATGGAGACATGAAATGCATTTCATATCTAGAGATTGTATTTTCATAAGAGATTTATAAATCTACTTGATTATGAAAGTTGATTTAATATTTTGGTAATTTAAATGATGAAAATTTTGTTTTAAGTTATTTCAGAGTCATGTTTGTATTTGTATGTTTCAGCCAGTACAGACAGAACCAGTCGATCTATCTGTTAGCAGCAAACGGCCATGCAGTCCTGGTGAGATTACATTCAGGACGCAACAGGGGCTTGATCTACGGGTACAGCGTAAAGGTCAGTGTCCACCTCAGTGATGTAAACAGCAGGTTGCCCAAGTTACAACAGCAGGTTTAGAGTATATATATTGTCATCATGGTAAAGCTAGGGAAACATGGAGCTGTATTAGGGAAAACTGTGTAGAAGTATTAAACGAAACCCAAACAAATCCCAATCACATTATGCAATGACAGAAATTTGTAAGTAATGAAAGCGTAATATATGAAATGTGTTATTTGTATTTTGTTTGGCTATATTCATGCTTGTTTTAATGTGTTTTAAAAAGAAATTCAGTTTCCAAAATTTTATTTGTTGTGTTATACATAAAGCTGAAAAACATTGTCAGAGTTTGGTCTCCACACAGCTTTATTTTGGTGACATGTTGTGTTCACGATACAAAGAAATATTTACATTACACAGAATCATAACAACATGCCAGAGACCTTAATCAGCTCTCCTGGTGATTGTCCAAAGTTGTGTCCACTGCTGTGGTCATTTTCAATATGGTGTCCTGACTGACCTCTGATCAGCAGTCAAGTAAATCTCCTTACTTACTGCCATTGTCTGCAATGAGCTTTAGTGATGGTGCATGTTTCGGTTTAGATAAGTTATTTGTTTGTGGTGCTTGAAAGACGTTGACCTACGTGTTACATTGGTAGCTTAAAAGATTGGACAATGGCCAGCAATGTACTGGACAATTGCTGGATGGCTGAGGTGAAGGTTATAGAGTGACTGGACAGTGACTGGACAATGATTGGACAATGTTTGGACACTGGACAATGGCTTAAGCTTGTTTGTAATCCTGTGTAATGTATAGGTAGTAAGACCCCTCAGGAAACTATTTTTTTCCAAATACCATGACTAGCAAATTTAACAAAAAAACCTATGACAGGAAAATTCACCGCAATATTAGTATTTTTTTTCAATTTTGAATATCAATCATACTATTTAACGTTTGATGGCTTTGAGTGTCTGTGTTGGCAGGTTAAGGTGATTGTAGGGTGTAGAGTGGGGTGGGTGGGGTATTGTACCGAATGGTACTGCCCTGATTGATCAACAGCCCTCCTGGAGTGCGAAGCCACTATGTCAGTGTTTAAACCTGCTTGTATGTGTATTGACTTGGTTAGATAGTTTGTGTTCACTCAGGCATGACACACACAAAGTGGTGGATCACGGGTAGAGCAGGTAGGAATGGTGTATTTGTCTACTATTAAATGCCTTGATGATCAAGCACTTGCTGTCGGTACTAGGACGCATGCAGTAGAGTCAGCCTGCCATATCCTCTGACTTTGCACCTCATGCAAGACAGGGCTAGTGGGTCACATATTAGAGTAACATTAAGGCTGTTGTCATTTTTACAACCGAAGCAAAGCAATGTTAATTTAACATGCCATGAAAAGAACACTTAAATCCTCATTTCTTTTTACAAGTCGGCAAGTGTTTCATCTTTTTGTTAAAGATGATCATTAAGAATCTAGACATATACAGCTTTGCAATAAATTTCAATAATTATAAAAATATTGACATTGAAATATTCTTTTAATGTCTTAGTAAGCCAGCAAAGCTGACGATGCGTCGAATAGTCAAGCTGAGAACGACATTGCAGATATTTGATAGGGCGTTTTCTTGTCACGATGTGTGTTGAATAGCTATCATTATACAAAGGTACATGAGAGATTTAGTGAAGATATCTGCAAAAAATTCTGTTAACTTTTAAAATCTTTACTCAGCTTGTAAGATCTTTGGTTTACCTCACACTGTAGAGAGGTCAGAGGTTAGATTAGAAGCATTTGTACACAATATTTTTTATGTATATCAGATAACTAAAATTGATTAAATCACTTTATAAGTGTTTTTGGTGTTATTCAAGGTAAGGAGGGCAGAGAAATTGTAAATATTTTTATTGTGATTTAACCATGGAATTTTGCACTAGGTTATTGACCTGTAGTCTATCCTGTGCCTGGACCTTAAAGCTATCCTATACCTAGGCAGTTTTAGGAATGGGCTATCCTACATCTTTAATGTTCTTTCTTAGGTCTTTCATATCTAAGATCTGTCAAGTTTTTTGCCTGTCCTGTGTAGAGTCTGTCCTTACATTGTGCTATCCTGAGTCTTGCCTGTCAAATATTGGACAATTCCAAGGCAGCAGTGTCCATGCTGGGGCTGTTATTAATCTTAACCATCCAAAGTTTGGAGAATCCTAAGTCTATTATCCAAGAAATTGTGTTTCTTATCAAAGCTGTCATAGGTCAGATGTATCCTAAATTTAGGTCATCTTGAATTAAATTTTGGCTGTCCAAGTTAGAATTACCAGTGATCTTCGCTGTCCTAAGTTAAAATCCATCTAAATTCTAGGACAAGTGGACAAGTCTAAGCTTTCTGTAACAAAACCCTATGCTACTACAGTAGAAAGTCTACCTGTAAGGTTGTATTAAGGTGTGGATGCAGATGCTGGATTCACACCTTCAGGTACCCTGACACAGGTACTGATATCGAATGTCTTGTCGAATTGATTGTGTTGAGCTGGAGATCAATTTGAGGACACTTCGACCTAGTAAATTAATTGTTAAGGCCAATCCTTTCCCGTAGTATAAAGGGAGTGGTGGATCTTGTATACACACACAGACACACCTGCGTCGAGTACCATATGAGGCCTACGTAATGAAACACGCCAACAGCAATAAAACAAAGGACCCTGATCTCTACAAGTAACATCAAATTGATTCACTATCTATCAATCGTCCTCAATTTTCTCCAAACATCAATTCATTCTTTACAAAGGCCATAAAAGGCTGTAATTCTCTCTCCTTTATCTGAAAATCTTGAAAATAGAAAAAGAGGAAGTGAAATAAAAAAAGGATGATTCATCGTGTGCATGTGAGAACCATTGTTTCTCACCTGTTTGGAAAAAAAAAGATGTGTTTGACCTTTTCGCCCACGACACAGCTGTGGAGTAGAGGATTCATCCATGTGAATGTGTTTATGACAAATTTAAAGCGTTTCCTCAGGATGATTACATGAAAATGTTTTATATCCCATTCAGACAAAAATCATGATAAAGAATTATGAGATTATCCACCTTTCTGAAATCTTGTCAAAACAAGTTTCGTCAATAATGATATGTTTCTAGGTTTAGAATAGGAATTGAAGTGTTTAAACGTTGATTTGAGAGATATTGTTAAAACATGTCTTCAGATATATGTAGCTACCTGATGACATGTGGGAACATGTGGTTTTATAGTGGCCGTCTGCAAGTACTTCAGTTCTTTGTCAATGAAAGTACCTTGTAAAAACTAAATCTCTTTGTTTAAAAAATTTTAATCTTTCGCCTTTTATTTCTCTGTCTTTTGTTTTATTATTCAGCTCTTTTTCCGATTTTTTTCCGATTTTTTCGCCTTTGAAAATAAAAGAAGTTCTCAAATATTACATGAACATTGTAAGACATTGATACGGAATTACATATTGATAAAAAGATAGAAAAATCAAACAAAGGAAAAAAATATTTGAATCTTTTGTCATGGAAAACACAGTGAAGAAAAAAAATTGCCGACCCAGCTATGGAAATGGGTAAAAATATGTACTGGGAAGTAAAATGGGAGAGACTGGCATTTCATTATAGATTGAACAAGTAGGTAATCTCATACATATTGTATGGAGCACTCAGTTTTAATTTGATGAAAAACTGAAATTTTAAAGCAGAACTTTGAGAAATGATCCTGATATCATTCAGTGGATGTTTTCTGTGTCAATATTTTGTTGATAGAAGTAACAAATATTTACTGATCATGTACTTGTATGTGTTGTAGATATGGATGACCACCCAAATGTCACTCTGGAAGCAGTAAACAAGATCGGGTCGGCAGCACTATTGTCCTTGCGACGGATCAAAGAGGCCTCAGAGTATGTATCCTATTTTTAACTTCAACACCATAAATTTGATTTCTTTGATTGATTTTGTCAATCAGGTCCAATTTGCCAAAAAATAGGTAAAGCTTATATACTCCTGAGCTTTCAGTATGAAACACCACTAAAGTCTATTCTTATTAGATTTTAATGGTCATTGGTCAAAGTTTAAGGTCAAAAGTTCACCCTTTGACCACATTCAAAGTAAAAACCTCGTGTAAATGATAGCCATAAACAACAAAACATACTTAGTTAAAATTCACACCATAGCATTAAGATCTACATTCGATTAGTCGGTCTGAGAGGAGGAGGATGGAGGGGAGGGGGGTATATTTTTGTTAGCATCTGCTCACTTTGTTTTCAAGATGCAATAAAGTTTCAGTGTCAGAATGAGTTTCTTTTTGTGTAACAATCACTTATGTGTTAAGCTTATTGACATCTGATGTTCAGTCCTGTCGAGGTGAATGTAACACAATACACCATTTTTATCGAGCAGTTGGTATGGTGTGTAAAACACAATTGCAGACTCATTGTTGGCCCTGCATTTGTTGACTTTTCTATTGAAACTACAATCGATATGTGTGAGCTTTTTAACAGGCATTGGGTGAACGAATCAATATGCTACATGAAATATCTAATTGTAACTATAAATCCATTGCTAATTTCAGTAAATTCAAGAGTTTGGAACATACACTTCCACACACTGCGAGTTCCCCTCTGCCTGTCAGCAATCCCTACTCCATCTCTCCGGTGCCTGCTGGGATGGATACCTTCCTTGAACGCGAGAAGAAGAGGCGAGTGCATCGTTGTGACTTCGAGGGGTGTAACAAAGTATACACAAAAAGCTCTCATTTGAAGGCTCATAGACGAACGCATACAGGTAGCTATCATTGTACAAAATTAACTCAATTGGAATTTATTAATGAATTTAAAATTGCCTTTTGGTTTCTCAAATTTGAAACAAAGAGTAATTTCATTTTCTCTTTCTATGCTTTGTGTTAAATGACCAATCTTGTATTTGTTTCTTTGAAATCAACTTTTAACAGAAATGTAATTTTTAATATTTTCCTGTTTGGAATTGAAATGATTAAAAATGGTGATAATAAACAGATTGTGCATCTGTTTTATGACATTGCCTAGGGGAGGAGGGAATGAGAGAAGGGAAGAATTGATCCTAGTGGGGAGGAGGAGGGGAGACAGGTAAATGGATCACCTGTCGTCTCTAACCTTGTTGTAACGGAAATATAATGCACTATTTGATGTTGACAGGAGAGAAGCCCTATGTCTGTAATTGGGAAGGATGCACCTGGCGGTTCGCACGCTCTGATGAACTCACCAGACATTACCGAAAACACACTGGTGCAAAACCGTTCAAGTGTAACGTCTGTGATAGAGCCTTCTCACGGTCAGATCATCTGGCCCTGCATATGAAAAGACATTGAGGTAAGGGAGATAACTGCATACATTTTTCAAAAAGAAAGTAAAATTGCATTATAGCAAATTTATTTTAGAGAATATTCTTTTGATTGCACAACCTGAATTTTGATCAAATGAAAGTATGAAATTGTTTCAATTTTTGTTTTGTATGATGTCCTTGGGTTGTCATTTTGGAAATTAATGTTTGATACTCTCTCAAACAAAATGTAGAAGGATTTCCTGTTTAATCATTTGGCTAATGATGTTTTATTTCTGTGTTGTAGGATGTACTTTGTTCAAGTAGATTCCAATATCAGTGGTGATGATCCTCCATTTCCTATGGTTGTCATGCCAACCAACTCCACCAGCAATAAACCTGAGGCTGTTGCCTGTTGAACTGCGGGTTCAGTTCATGCAGCTGTGAACGCCGATAAATGTCTTCATTATTGAAGAGACACCAATCACCTGGCTTAGGTCCCAGAAGAATTTCTCAGTTGCCAATGAGTTTTTTGCTCAGCAAATTGGAGGATCTTACGGCAAGTTTAAGCTGAAAGTGAGGCTGCAGTCAGAGTTTATGTAGGGAACTGTCCTGTCATGTTGCTAAGCAACCATTTGGACAGAGAAGAAATATACACCAAAAACAGGGGAAATAAAAACCTTGATTCAAGTTTGTGTCCACTGCATGGCTAGTATTTGCAAGCTGTAAAGCCCTGTCCCTGATGTGTGATTGACAGTGTACAACAAACTAGGCTCCGCCCTGGATGTGTGATTGATAATGTCCAGGGGCAAACTAGGCCCCGCCCCGATGTGTGATCGACAATGTCGAGGGGCAAACTAGGCCCTGTGGCTGATGTGTGATTGACAATGTGCATGGTGCAGGGTACAAAACTCTGTACCACAGTATGATTGCATTGTATAAGAATTGCTCATTGCTGTCCCAAGTACAAATGTCTGACAGTGATGATGGTTGCTAAGCCCTGCCCCTCATGTGTGTGATTGACAGAAGCTTGACAGAATTGTGATCGGTACATTAGCAGGCAATTTCAGTTGAGACAGTATTCACCAAATGTATAGATAATTTGTTTTCACTGCCAAAATGCCAAATGCTTGTTAGGAACAAGCTTATGCAATCGTGAGTGTTTAAGTGGTCTGTGTGTGGGAGGCAGCACAGAAATACACACACGTGCGGTTGGCTGAGAAGTCACAATACACAGTTCATTTATCTTCATTTGTGCTTCATTGATCACTGAACTGATACCATGAAGATACATTAGAACAGTTCCAGTTATTTTGTCTGGATTCAGCATAAAACCACAAATTTCATTATAATTTTTCATAATGAATTATTTCCACTGAATTAAAACTTTCTGCATACATTGTATGCTGGATAATTTCTGTGTAGAGCTAGTGAAAGTTTTAAAGAATATATAACACACATGTTGATTAAGTTGACAAATCACCCCACCAGGCCAAGTATTGCTCTCCCACCTATAGTAATAAACCTTCTAGCTTTTCAAAGCATCATTTGCTTTGGATTTCTCTGATGATATCCCTGCAAAAAAAAAAATTGACCTCTTTAAATCTCAAATGTTTACCTAGATTAAATTTATGATATCATTTTCAACAAATGTTTTGGAAGTATAATTTTTTCCTTTATTTCATTAGGCAAGTGTGGTACAGATTTCACTAGTTACAGGAAAATCACGAAAATATTCAGCATTAAACTTTCAAAACCATAAAACATACAAGCAGTCTTTTGTCTCATTGTTATTAACAACTCCGGATGTTGACAAACAGACAGTTCAGGTCATCGAGGTAATTTCCTGGCAGACTTCCTCATATACACACGAAGGCAATTCAGTCCTATGTTTATTGTTACACACACCTGTTGAACAACATTCTTCATGAAACTTAGAAACTTGAATTAACATGTATTGTGTTTTTTCTTTCTTTCTTTCTTTCTTTATTGAAATTTCAAGAAGCAAACCAGACAGTATGAATTGTATCTACAGAAAACTATTTTGAATTTTTTTTTCAGTTTTTCAAAATGGAAATTTGTGACTTTCATTTGTGCACTGTTTTTTTTTTATATGTGCACTGGTGGTTTTGATGCACTAGAGTCAATTACGGTCTCAGATTTGACACAATGCCAAGAGGTTTTAAGACCCAGACAAACATAAAGCTGTATTAGTCAATTATGAGCAATATAGACAAACATTTCCCTGAGGTCTTCCAGAAATCTGCAATAATCTGTACTAGGTCAAGCAATATTTACCTGTTATTGTTTATTTGGTTATTTACCTTCATTGTTTGTATATATCTTTTACCACAATGTTCTGGAGTTGGTATTGATTGACACATTCTTCCCTGGTGATGATCTACGAAGTTAAAACCTGTGATTTGAATTTCCTTCCTTCAAAATCTTGCCAGATATGTTCTGTGATTCAAGTAAAAAGTTATAAAGACATAGTGTAGGAAATTATTGCAGTGAACATGTTGTAAAAATAAGGGTTATTTTCACTATTGGTCAACTGATAACAAAATTCAGATTTAAATTTTTCTAATAAAATTTTACTTTAAATTTGTTTAATTCACTGTTATACCTAGAACTGTTTTGTTGTTTTAATTAATGATTGACATAGAATGATGGATAAGAAGAGAAATCATGTCTGTTAATTTCTGGTTACATGTACATTAAACGCATTGTTAAGATAAATGAATGGTAACAACATTATGTTGATGTAGAAGATATTGATAGAAAATATGTTGAAGCATGTGGCTATTTGAAATGATTAACCAAATGAGTAAAGATCTTCGTAAATTTAAGTCAATATAAGTACTTCTTCCGAGAGAATATTCCAAATTTTTTGTGTGGAGTGTTAAGTTTGAGGAGTTCATTTTACTGTAAGCAATAAATCTCATCATCCCCAGGTCATTTTGAGACTGTTTTATTGTCTGTCCTGCTGTATAAAGATCATATAATTCAGTGCTTTTGTGTAAATTATTTTTTGTGTTAATATAATTCAGTTATTTTTATGTAAAGTCACTGAAACATGGTGCTATGTCTATGTATATTAATGTACAGAAACAGCTTTCCTTCACTACCTGTATCAAATATCATTTCAAAAACAGCTATCCTTAATATTCAATTACCCATACCTAGCTAAGTATACCCAGATTATATTTTTGCCCAATTCTGTGTCTTAACCAAACCTTTTTTAATGAAACTTCATTGTACAAAATGTGTAACATTTTTTATAATTCAAACATCTCTGTGCCCCAATTTTCTTTCAAACTTCTTTTTAACTCTGATTCACTTTCAAGTATTTGTATGACCCTGATTTCTTTCATTTGTTGTTATTCATCCTTGTATCATTGTTAAGTGCTGTATATAGAAAATTATGTCTTTATTTATCATTAACTTATTTAATTGCAGTATTTCAATAGATATTGCAGAACATAATGTTGTAAATATAAATGAACAGATATGTTCCTTTGCCAGAGGGACCTGTTGTAAATATGTAAATAGACCATGTACCAATTGATTCTATGAATGTGGTAATTTTTACAGAAGTCTATATGTTGTTTTGGTGATTACAGTGTGAAATGTACCCTGTGGAATATAGTTATAGAGAGTGAATGGTATTTTTCATTGTTATCAGTATTCTGTTTTTAATAATTGTTTTATTCAAATTACTTCGATGATTATTTTATCGGTTTTTTTTCAACAGCTTTTAAGAAAAATATTTGGTCAGAAAAAAAGAAAACAAATCAAGAAAATCTGTCTCAATGATTGGTTATTCTTCAACATGACAGCATTCTTAAAGACGAATTATTTTGAGGTTTTCCAAATGATTGAAGTAAAAAAGATTTATGAAATATTTAAAAAAAAAAAACAAAAACAAAAAAAGAAGACAATACACACTAAAAATTTTTTTTGAAAAATTGAAAATTATTAAAAGTAAATAAATTTTCAAATGTATTTAAATTTTCATATAACATACACATGCTATATTGTTTTAATCATTCCTATACCAAGTCACAAAGTCATCCCACTGGTCATAGATTCATCTCCTGTAAGGTCGTGGGGTCATAAGTTCATCTCCCTGTAAGTTCACAGGGTTACAGGGTCAAGTGTCAAAGTGCAATAATCCTCGTATAAAGATCATTAAAGTCTGAGGAACATTTTTATTATTGAATGTTTTATTTGGTGTGCTAGTTATGCATTTTGTTAGATATGGTTACTATGGTAACGTATAGATTGTTACTTTGTTAGTGTGATGTTGCGTGAATGTTTGTTAATAGTGTGATAGTTCCGATTGCTCAAAGTTTTCATTTGTGTCAATGTGGGATATAGAATAGTGGACGAGAGTATAACGCAGCCGTGGAACCCTTTGGATATAATTCCTATTTCTTTTTAAGGGTGAAATATGTTACAGGGCTAGAAATATGATTAATTTGTGAAAAATAAAGATATTTTTTGCAGCTTGTTAAGAAAAAATGGAAAGTGGTTTCCATGGTGATGAGAGATAGTTTGGCCATTGTTTACAATGTCTGTGGTCAGAAACAATCATTGTCCTCTATAATTAAAGTATATAGAGCCAAAATATTATTGTCTGTTGTTTGTTCAAAAGGTTTTTCATGAGCTAAATGTTGACTGAAAACTAAATCCAATACATAAATGCTATATATATACAAAAGAGTTCTTTCGACAAGAAAAGGTTTCAATCTGACCATCTTATCTGCAATTTTTAGCCCATGATCATCTGGCTATTCAAATACCCCTATGTCCATGTTCTGCCCATCTGTTAACAATTCTCGATATCGTTATTTCTTGAGAAGTACTGGATGGATCTTTCTTAAATTTCATATTTAGGTTCCCTTGGTCCCTAGTTAAGCCCATTTGATTTTTGGACTGATAAGAAAAACAAAATGGCGGACAGGTGGTCATCTTGGAAATTTTCAATGATGTTTGCAATCACTATTTCATGAGAAGTGCTCGATGGATCTCTCTCAAATATCATATATAGGTTTCCCTTGGTTCTCAATTGTGACCTTTTGATTTTGGGATTGACAAACAGCTGACAAATGGCCATTTGCATAGATCTATCTCAAATCTCGTATGTAGGTTCCTCTTGATCCTTAGTTATTCTCGTTTGATTTTTGGACTGATCAGAAAAACAAAATGGCTGACATGTGGCCATCTTGGATTTTGACTTTGAAAATTTGTAATTGCTATAGCTTTAGAAATGCTACATATAGATTTTTCTGAAGTCCCTAGTTGCATCCGTTTGATTTTGGGACTAATCAGAGAAATAAAATAGCCGTTTAACGATTGTTATAGTTATTTCTGCAATGGAACATTCAAATTTCTTATAAAGAGCAAAACAGAAAATAGAAGGAAAAAGTACCAACTTTCAAAGAACAAAGAAAGATCGATCAGTGGTGGGTGACAAGATCACCACTGTTATGAAAGCGAAAAATATATCCCGGTAAGACAGCCAGAACCATTCGGGCCACAATTGTCTTTGTTACAAAAATAAGGACATGGTACAATTGTGTGATAATTGCAATTTCAGCACATTGTACAGTAGATAAGTTTTACCAGAGACATTTTGATTAATCAAAGTTTCTTAAATGACAAAATAAATAATAACTGGAACAAAGAAAGGGAAAAGTATCACAGACATTTTGATTAGAAAACAGCACTAAATATTACAAATACACAGTAACTGATAACAAGTGAAGTCACTAAATGAATAAAACACAAAGGAATATTTCATTTCCACTTGTAATTGTCAGCGTTCCTTCACGGACATTAACATTTGGATAAACTGTCTACTGATAAGAAATTAAACCTTCTTAAAAATATTCATACCAATGAAAACGGGTTGATATCAGAATGTTATACACAAGAAGGGAGATAACCCTTATTACAAAACGGTATTATCAGCACAACTTCATCTATTTAACAAAACAGAACTTAGAGCACAATTATTTTAAAGAGGTATACAGAAGTGAGATCTGTGCATCTGCTGATCAAACTATTTACTTCATGAACAACAAAAACAAGAAAATGCAGTAAAAACATTTTTTTTATTCAAGTCTTTTTTTTTTAAAGTTTCAAAAGTTGTTTGCTTATAACGTGGAAGCTAGATTGTTACTGTGTTTGTTAAAATAGTAATATCATAGATTCTCCACAGAAATAAAGTGAGCCAGACACGAACCCCACAAGGGAGTCCATGCTGACAACTTTGGACCACTTTGGTCTTATACACAGAGCGAGGCATCAATCCAGAAACAACAAGTCTCAAATCGGGCAAAATACACGAGATAGCGCTACATCAGGACAACAAAATGTGACTCAAGTTTATATAGGGTAAGTACTTCTTTAACAATAAGTATACAGAAGGGAAATCACTTTCAACACGTCCTAATGATTTGTAAAAAAGTGCTTTTCCAATACCATTAAAAAACATATTAAATTGCAATAAAATAAATATCTATCAGAACCTCTGATCTAGAGAGGTGCTACGGAGTTCATTGAAGTTAACAATTCTTTATGAGTAAAGAAAGCCTAAAAATGTAGCAAATCCGTTAAACTCTGGTGGGTTATTCATACAAAAATAGCACAGAATATTATATTCGGCAGGTTAATCAAACAGCACACTAGGAAAGATAGCTTAAGAGAATAAATCTTCAAAAAAGGAGAACCATGGCAAGAAAGGAAGGCATGAAGATAGAAGGAAGACTAATCAAGATGAAGATGTCAAAATTAGAGAGAAATTGGGGATGTACATTTAAACTACATTATTAAAAGTTTGCCATAATTTAAAACAGAACAAGTATATCAATGTCAGGCAAAACTTACAGGAAAGCAAAACCAAAACAGAGAGGAGGGAATAATTCCTACATAGGTATTCTACAACCATGGGATAATACGACCCTGAAGTTAATGCAAGGTCACATCCTAATATGGTTAAAATTTTGTCAAAATCGATGGTTATTCACCAACCCAGCGGCATCTTAAAATCTTCAGTCAACCACAAGTAAGTTCTAGGTACAATGCAGGTCACACATGTTAACAACCTAATATGTAATGGTCTTGAAAATTTTGACATTTATAGTTCTGTCATTTGTTGACATGATCCATATCTTGTCCAAGACTGAAGAGTTACCACATGTTAAGCCAAGAGACGCAAGATATTCTCATTACAACCAGCCTGTTTATTGGTAAAATCAAAAGCTAATATTTCATAATTATGCGTAACAAGTTTTAAACCATGATCCCTATAATAGCTGCAGAATATTAATAATATGAATCAGTGACAAGACTGATTGAAGCGGAGATAATGTATAGCAAGTTCTTCATCTATATGGTTAAATACTTTCAATATTCCTGTATACATACTTGAAATGAATTGAATAGTGCTATTTATTGCTATAAATGTACCAATAAACTTCAATCTTAGTAATGAGACAAAAGCCTGATAGAACGCATTGCATGCACTTATATGTGGCAACCGAGGATTTTAAGAAGCCTGAGAGGATCAGGACATTGAGTAGGGTGTGTCCTAGGGAGGCTGTATCACCGGTGGGAGGGGCTTCAGCAGTTGTCATGACGATCTGGCCTTGTACTTATATAGAGGACAACAAGAAATGATCAAACATAACAAAAACAATGGATTTCTTAAAGGAGAGGCCTGATCATCACAAGAACTTGCTGCGGCCATCCACACGGGGACTGCCGTTTATCAGACATTAGGGGGCCTACCTAGGGATAAGTCACATTTTGTTGTAATAATCTTACAGACCACTGGTGTGGAGGATTTATATAGCCTTAGTTAAGGATTCTAAATGGAGAATTTGACAAAGATATCTGCAAATCTAATTTTTAAAAATGTTTGTGCCTGGTGTTTGTTCTCCACTACATTCACTCCCTTTTAATGTAAATTAAAAAGAGTATAAACAGAACCTAGTAAACAGATCCAATATTTACTACTTGCAGTAAACTTGGCACAAATCATTAGATGAGCAGAAATATCTTTGCTCTAATTTTCTTAAAACATCTTGTTCTATAACATGAATGTCTTTTGTACTCCATTGTCTGGACACGATTGTGATGTATCATTAGGATAAAAAGTAAAGTCCGGTTTTACTGTCCAGTTTGGGGGTACCACCACTCAGATTGGTCATCTATACCATCTACCAGTTGGCCTTAAGACTCTGGTCCGATGGATTAATTTTCAACCAGTGGTACATTATATTGTCAAATTGGTTCTTTCTTGATGTGGTAACACATCATATTTCATTTAAGGAATTCTTGATGTGGAATCAACCAAGTGGAATATGATTTTTTTTAAACTCTAGTTTGAAAACAGGTAACAGGTTTGATTTTTCTAGGTAGATAATGCATCATGTGGTTGTAAAATTATCATGTAAATTTTAGAATTTGTTTGCAGTGTTAATGAAACGACTGTTTTTATTTTTTCAGTATTTTAGTTTTAACAAAAGCCTTCTTTTTCCACAAGGTTCAATTCTACACATACTAAAATTCCAGATGAGTTACTTGTAATTTTCCCCATAAAATATACAAACACAACACCAAATATGAGGTTGTCATGACAACAGTATCTGTGACATTTACAGTTGTGACAAAGTTGTAGAGTACAAGCAGCCTTCCTTGGAGTACTATCACAGGGGCTTAACATAGTCAAAATTTAAAAAGAATGCTTATCTGACAGCCAGATCCTAATACACATGATTAACAAATCGTGAACAAACAGTTTTTTTTTGTGTATCACTACTGGAACATAAAGAGAAAACAATGATGGTTCACATCTAAATTTATAAAATCATTGAATCCTGATAAAACACAGGTAAAAGTAATGTTATTAAAAAATTCAAAACATTCCAAGTCTACCAACACAGCAAATTGCAATATGGCAATATTGTAGGGATGAATATTCATAAAGTGAGCAAGAATATTCATAATGTTTGGATGAATATTCATAATGTTGGATGAATATTCATAATGTTGGGATGAATATTCATTAAGTCATGTTTATTTATTGCCAAAATATACATGCAACAGAACTGAGCACAAACCTCGGCAATATTTCTATAATTATTAGTTTCATATCAGTCATACTAAGCATGACCCAAACATGATCAAACAGGTACGACTGGGGTATCAACTACACAGAAAATTAAAAGGAAAAACAAAACAATAATTGGACATTAATTAAAAATTCAAAAATATGTACTTATCAGTGTGTAAAAAGCAATACTGAAAAGGGCTTAAAGGGAGGTAACTATGGAAGGCTGCTTGTGCTCTCAAATTGTCTACTGTAACTGACGATCTTTGTTGTCGCCTGCTGGTGCAGAGAAACTTCTGGCCTCGCCTGCATGTAGAGGCATACTCCGACCCTCCATGGAGGGAGGGGGAAATTTCATATTGTCGGCCGTTGGTGGGGGATAGTTCATATTATCTCCAGTTGGTGGTGGATAGTTCCATCCACTGCTGGTGTTTGGAGCATTTGGTCCCCAAATATTAGCCATTGAGTTGAATGGGTCGAAAGTTCCAACATTTTCCTAGAAAAGAAAAGGAATCTAATGTAGAGATATATAAATTTAATGAAAATGGACTTTTTAAATTTCTAACTCACTGCAAAGATGTGAAATTTCAGATTAAGTTCTTCCATTTATCTGGATATTTCAAACTGAAAAAATAGAATGACAAATATTTTTGTGTGCGTGTTATTCTATTCACAGAAAGATTTTCCTTTCATTTAGATTTTGTCCACAGTTGCGTCCTGTATTGAGTATGAAAATCACACACATAAAGGCCTAAATAAATGAGTAATGAAAGAAATGCTCAGGTCAATTAAGATCAAGGATACAACCAATACATCCAAAGACAATAAATCAGTAAGCAGTTAGGAGGTCGTACAGTACAGACAAAATTTCAGTCGATTGGGTGCCTAGTGTAGTGAAACTTACGGGAGTACTATTCGGGGTTGGAGAGTGGGTGCCATCATTGCCGTTGAAGCTCTCAGTCGTCATGGTATCGGCAGAAGTGGAGACCGAGGTTGGAGTGTTGCCACTCCATCCAGAGGTGAAAGACATCAGAGAGTTCCAGCCAGAGTTAGCACTATTGGTCAGAGTGCTCCAAAGACCTCCACTCTATAAGTAACAGAAAAATTCAAACATAAATGGCAGTCAATCTTCAAATAAATCTCAGCCATTTTAAAATGTATCTTTAAGCAGACATTGATGAACTTGAAAATTTAAGTAACACCTTTATTCAATTTTCTTTCAAAATGGAATCTTTGTAAACTTTTTGAAATTGGACTCATTATATATATATACAGAAATGGTGCTATAGCCTCTTCTCATGTCTAGTTTCATTCTGTTTAACTGACACGAAGCAAGATTTCTAACGACACTGCAATACATGTGTAATATTATTCTACAGAAAATGTAAGTTTAGGATGTGGAATGTTCTAGTGTACATACTGAGGAAGTCGGTGGAGAGTCAGTAGTGGTGGACCATTGGTTTCTGTTCTCCATGGAATGGTATTCCGAGTCCCACAGACTCTCACTCCTTACGGCGGGGTAATCAAAGCCTGGCCACTCTTGTCCTGTAAGGAAGAAAGGGTTTGTTTATCAAACAGATCTACATACATTTAAACTGATATCACTTCCTGAACAAGAACTCCGTCACATTACTTAAATATGTGAGATTATGGTAAATATCAAAACAAAATTCTCTCATCAATGTTTCTTTTCTTTGCCTCAAAGCGTTTTGATCATTTCTATGTTTAAGCTACTGGTGTTAATCTCCACAAAGAGTCTAGGTATTACTTGTACATACAAGACTATAATTAGAGAACTGGACGTTTGTGTTTCATAGCTGGTGTCCCAACACACGAGCACCAGGTACAAACAAAACATTTTACCCTTCATGAATCTGATCTGGTGTTCCTTGACACGTCGACGTCTGTCTGCCATCAGCTTCTGCATCATCGTCTGTGGCTGGTCGAATCCTGGTGCAGCAGTGCTAGTGGCAATTGACGTAGGCGTGGAAGGTGTTGTGGGGCTGATGCCACCGCTTGTGGTGCCAGTGGGACTGTAGTTGTACAGAGGAGTGTCTGGGAAGACTATAAACAAAGTGACAAGCATTAAATCAATGTTTCTTCTTATTTAAAATAATCAAATATTTGAAAAATATTTTGCAAGATATTAAAGGCACTGCAGATGTACCTTAAATTTACTAAATCATTAGAAAAATTCCTGTGGAAGAGTTTAAGAGTGAGAAAAATCACTAACATTTCTATACAACCCATTGATACCTTACAGATAATACTGCCATCTTTCACTAAAGATAATGCTGCAGTGTGATGTTGCATTAATCAGTTGAAGAATACAATGTAAACTTGCACAATTAAATCAGATCTTGTTAAAGCCTGTCTGTACAGTTAGTAACACCAATATCTAGTGGTCTGTACAGTTAGTAACACCAATATCTAGTGGTCTGTACAGTTAGTAACACCAATATCTAGTGGTCTGTACAGTTAGTAACACCAATATCTAGTGGTCTGTACAGTTAGTAACACCAATATCTAGTGGTCTGTACAGTCAGGTAACACCAATATCTAGTGGTCTGTACAGTTAGTAACACCAATATCTAGTGGTCTGTACAGTCAGGTAACACCAATATCTAGTGGTCTGTACAGTTAGTAACACCAATATCTAGTGGTCTGTACAGTTAGTAACACCAATATCTAGTGGTCTGTACAGTCAGGTAACACCAATATCTAGTGGTCTGTACAGTAAAGTAACACCAATATCTAGTGGTCTGTACAGTAAGGTAACACCAATATCTAATGGTCTGTACAGTTAGTAACACCAATATCTAGTGGTCTGTACAGTCAGGTAACACCAATATCTAGTGGTCTGTACAGTTAGTAACACCAATATCTAGTGGTCTGTACAGTCAGGTAACACCAATATCTAGTGGTCTGTACAGTCAGGTAACACCAATATCTAGTGGTCTGTACAGTCAGGTAACACCAATATCTAGTGGTCTGTACAGTAAGGTAACACCAATATCTAGTGGTCTGTACAGTCAGGTAACACCAATATCTAGTGGTCTGTACAGTCAGGTAACACCAATATCTAGTGGTCTGTACAGTTAGTAACACCAATATCTAGTGGTCTGTACAGTTAGGTAACACCAATATCTAGTGGTCTGTACAGTCAGGTAACACCAATATCTAGTGGTCTGTACAGTCAGGTAACACCAATATCTAGTGGTCTGTACATTAGGTAACACCAATATCTAATGGTTTGTACATTAGGTAACACCAATATCTAGTGGTCTGTACAGTCAGGTAACACCAATATCTAGTGGTCTGTACAGTCAGGTAACACCAATATCTAGTGGTCTGTACAGTTAGGTAAAACCAATATCTAGTGGTCTGTACAGTTAGTAACACCAATATCTAGTGGTCTGTACAGTCAGGTAACACCAATATCTAGTGGTCTGTACAGTCAGGTAACACCAATATCTAGTGGTCTGTACAGTCAGGTAACACCAATATCTAGTGGTCTGTACAGTTAGGTAAAACCAATATCTAGTGGTCTGTACAGTTAGTAACACCAATATCTAGTGGTCTGTACAGTCAGGTAACACCAATATCTAGTGGTCTGTACAGTTAGTAACACCAATATCTAGTGGTCTGTACAGTTAGTAACACCAATATCTAGTGGTCTGTACAGTCAGGTAACACCAATATCTAGTGGTCTGTACAGTCAGGTAACACCAATATCTAGTGGTGCCCTCATATAACAAAGTCTCCCCACGTTAGAAATAGAGTGTAATTTGATATAAAAGTAAGGAGAACTGTTTATGGTCTGTATTTTGTTTGCTGGGTCTATCCTCCTGTAAACAGTCTGGTTCATTTTGAGATATTGAGCATTGAACAACAAGCCTTCTCAATACTGCCTTGCCCAAGGACACAATAGCACAGGATGGTTTTTTGATCTTCCAGAGAAATACAAACCACCCCCAGTAGGGACCATCAAACCACACACCACCCCCAGTAGGGACCATCAAACCACACACCTTCCCTAGTAGGGATTATCAAACTACACACCACCCCCAGTAGGGATCATCAAACCACACACCACCCCTAGTAGGGATCATCAAACCACACACCACCCCCAGTAGGGATCATCAAACTACACACCACCCCCAGTAGGGACCATCAAACCACACACCACCCCCAGTAGGGATCATCAAACCACACACCACCCCCAGTAGGGATCATCAAACTACACACCACCCCCAGTAGGGATCATCAAACTACACACCACCCCCAGTAGGGACCATCAAACCACACACCACCCCCAGTAGGGATCATCAAACCACACACCACCCCCAGTAGGGATCATCAAACTACACACCACCCCCAGTAGGGATCATCAAACTACACACCACCCCCAGTAGGGACCATCAAACCACACACCACCCCCAGTAGGGATCATCAAACCACACACCACTCCCAGTAGGGATCATCAAACTACACACCACCCCCAGTAGGGATCATAGAACCACACACCATCCCCAGTAGGGATCATCAAACCACACACCACCCCTAGTAGGGACCATCAAACCACAGACCACCCCCAGAAGGGATCATCAGACCAAACACCACCCCCAGTAGGGATCATCAAACCACACACCAGCACCAGTAGGGACCATCAAACCACACACTACCCCCAGTAGGGACCATCAAACCACACACCACCCCCAGTAGGGATCATCAAACCACACCCCACCCCCAGTAGGGATCATCAAACCACACACCACCCCCAGTAGGGACCATCAAACCACACACCACCACCAGTAGGGATCATCAAACCACACACCACCACCAGTAGGGACTATTGCATACCTCACATCTTCATCTGACATTACAAAGTCTGACGATCTATCAACTGAGTTAACACTCATAGACCTGTTTAATTCTTTAAACATTATGTTACAGACAACTGACTAGCATTGCTGAAGGGTGTATCTTAGAGAAGGTCAATGACAGGAAGATATTACCTGTATTTCCAAATGGAGTGTCCTGTTGAGCGAATGGGTCAGATCCAGATTCTTGTAAACCAGATGTCAAACGAGTCTCCTGTATTGTCTGTAGACCAAAACTGTTGTTGCTGGAAGACAAGAAAATAGACAAGGTTACTCATTACTTACAGACATCAAGTTCACTGGATATCAAGGATCAAGTAACCGTGGAACAAGTTCACAGATCTCTAGATGCAAGTTCACTTGACATTAAGACTTAGTGAAGGGCTCACTGGACTAAATATGTACAAAAATATAAAACAAAATCGGCAACATAGTGTAAAAACAACAAAATTATATCTTGTGTTTCTTGCTATTTTAATAGTCGATCAAAAAGGAAAAGTATTCAAATACACTAGTTTACTAAGTTATGTCTGCAGAAATCACAAACTCGTGTCCAATTAACGACATCGACACCCCTAATGATCGACCTACCATAAGCCAATTCCCGATAAAACAACATCTTTCACACAATTGTTCACGGCAGATGCTATCTAGATGTAACAAGGATATAAGGATAATTGACATTTTCATTACAGATGTGTTGCTGTTTAGACAGGTAAACGTTGCTGTCAAAACACAAGAGTCTGGTGTTGATGGTGGGCGTGTGTTTTACACAACATTCGAAGCAAAATTTACCTGTGTCACTCGTTACAAATAAGTTAAACGCCATTGATTTTTCCTTACAGTCATCCTGGAAATGTCGCTAATAACAGAACAAATTTGAAATCGCCAATGGCATTAATTTGACAATGCCTGCATGGAAAACATTATGACAGAGTACTAAAATCAGAAATAGATGCATCTATAAAATATCATTAGCATACAACAGTGTGACATTTACCCAGAAATAGAAATTTAAAAAAATATTCAATGTGTATCACCATGCCATAATCAAAAGCCGACTTAAGAGAAAGTTCTAAAACTCTAAATCATCCTTAATCATCATCACATCATTGTGATAAAATATTTAAAAAATAATGCTGAACAAAATTTAAAACTATAATGGTAAACAACTATCTCTGCTACTTAACCATATACAAATTTAAATTCTTATCAAAATACCTGGGAGAAGAGGTTCACCACAGAATGGCACAAATCCAGCAGGGAAGCGTTTTTCATTGGCCTTCGGCTTGGTCTGTCCCTCAGTGCTGTTGTTACTGACAATGCTACTGTAGCTACTTGAGCGACTGCTGCTCGTCAATCCGTCTGGGGAGAAACTGAAGCCATTTGCCGTTGGTGATTTCTGTTTCTGGGCAAAATTCTCTGTTTGAATGGACAGCTCACTGAGGTCTTCTGCGAAGGGAGATAACTCATTCATCAACTTTGATTGTAATTAAAGCACAAATATAAAGGTGGTAATACCAGATACATGTTTTTTTTTAAGTTTAAGAAAACAATTTATGAAAATATATAAATATATATGCTTCATTCAGTTATTTCTGTTTGTTTTATTGATACTTTGTTACTAAAAAGACATTTCATAAGTAATATCTCCACAGAACGCAAAGTATTAAAACTTATATTATCAACTATTTCTGGTGATAAATTTGTGAACGAAAATATATATTATCACTAAACAAAGTATTTAAATATATCCAGACTTTCTAAGAACCAATAGGACCCCAGTTTGTCGCTCTCCAGCCACACACTGCTAATCTACAAATCCAAAATGTTGCTACATCTTTATACAGCTTCACCCAATCTAGCACTACTAGGCAAGGTAAGGGATGGTGCAAAGTTCAAATCGGCAAAAACATGCACATCAAAGTAAAGTATAGTACACAGTACACACTCATACATATATAATTAAGAATTATTCTTTCAATAGCAAGTCATGTGATAGGTCACATGATAAATCATGACAAATGACAGTAGATTACATTATAACGATGTCCCGGCTTTGAATTTTTGCACTTGCCATAAACTTTCTCTTCCACCATATATCTTCACTAATATTCTTGAACCATTTCCAGTTCCAGCAAGGAGACATTTTTTCTTTGTAATTTTATTATGTTTCAAAAATTTTCAATATTTACAAAGGACAGACCATCTCAATGTTTAGTCCCCTTTTACATTTATTTTTCTTACAAAATCTTCAGCACACAACTTGAATTTATTACAACAGAGTGGTTTGTAGACTGCAGAGTACATATATTCCATATATCATTATTGAAACTAATAAATCTTTAGTTTTAGCCAGTTGCCTACTTTCATTCCTTGAACTTAACTTTCAGTAGCTGTCAATCACATATCTCAAGTCTACTGAATCTAATAGCACTACTCAAAGTATTTGTGGTCAATTTACTAGACAGCAACGTATTTACCACAACATTATCAGAACAGTCTTTTGCAATATTCATCATTTAGAAGCTTATCATCACATTTAATGCAACTTTTAGTATGGCTGACTCAATCACTTTGAAGATCATGATTTCACCTAAAGCTTTCATGGATTTCAATTGAAGACTTCAAAATGAAGACATAAAGGAAGTCCAGAGGTAATTTTTAGTAATGATGACTACTCCAACCAAGATATTTTTCAACTGACTTATGTCATATATTCACAAACATTTTACAATATTTTGAAATCTTACATTTATCTAGAGTCTTCTATCACAAAATGAAAGTCCTGTGTGAAATTATTGGTAGTCCCATCAACCAAATTCATTAAATATGGTCATTCTATGATTTTTTTTGTAATTTTGTATTCTTTTCTTATAAAAAAACCAACACTAAATTGGTTGTTATATTTGTTGTTTTCTATTCTTTGCTTTTTACCAGATGGAAAGAAACCATGGAAAGTAGAACTGAAGTATCAGAGAAATTAACAGTTTCTTTCATGACATCATGTTTATTTCAGGATTACAGTAGACAATATTTACTGCATATGAAATGGTCATTGTGGCTATTTTTGTAATATCTCCTACTTTTTCAGTAACCCTCAACAAATCTGAATGTTTTCCGATTAAATAGTTCCACCTGCTGTATATATGAAGCAGGAATGACCACACATACCAGACGTTGGTAAGAATTCAAATCTAGGGAAGCTGCTGAAATGGTAACCTGCAAAACAACAAATCTACAATCTGGACTACTGACTAAAAACTGATGTTAAAGGTTTTCTGGAATAAATGCCTGAAAAACAAGTCAACCCTCGATGGAAAGAAAAGAGAAATAAAAAAGACTCCTTGTTAGTTTCCTTCACCTTGTGCATACCCAGGTATCAACCTGCAGTATAAAACTATCAACTACTGTAGCTGGCCTTGATCAATTACCCAGCATTCCTGCCCTGTATCCGATACAAGACACCAAGCCTTGATATATTTCCCTACATAAAGATCACACTGTTTTCTTACTTTCAATACAAAATATATATTCTCCTGTAAAACTATGAAAATAAATGCCTTTTTTCATTTTTTTTGGGGGGGCACTGTTGTTAAAGACTTTCAGTTTACATGACTCCACCTAATTCTAGGTTTCATCTCAAAGACAAAATCAGTCTTCTATTGAACTGCTGCTTATCATTACAATAAAGCTCAAATAATGAACCTTATCATTGCTTCCCATTATCTTATAAACAGTGATTTAGAAATTTTCAACAGAAGTGCGACTTCAGCAGGAATAGCATAATAAAGCTTGGAAGCATTAGCAATGCTGTGTGTGTGAAACAGTGAAGCTGCATTGATGTACAGCTATACTGTTTGTAGTATGAAATGCTGTCTGGCCAAGCTAGGCACCAATAAAGCATGTCAGAAAAGAAAACTGACCAGGTACTGGACTGGGGGTATCCCAGTTAGGTGGGGTGTCACTATCCTCGCTCGAGTCCAGTCCCGGCCAGGACGAGGGGAGCGGTCCTAGACAAACACAACAACATCCACACTCAGGCTAGCTGACATGCATACTACACTACTACTATGATCATGTCAGACCTTGATGTGAAGCCCTCAGTGTATTCTGATGTTTACATATTTATATGTCAACATCACTTGTCGACAGGAAATACTTGTCAAACAGTTCTAGATTTAAGTGACTGGTTGGTCACTAAACAGTCTCTGTCTGTTGTGTCAGTGAGTGTTCTGGCTAAACACTATTGTATTGTTAGACTGTCTGTCTTGGTCTCGATCTGTCGTATGACCAGTTAATGTCCGGTCAGGTTACTACTGTATGGTCAGACTGTTTCTGTTGGTCAGTTGTATGGCCAGTGATTGTCCTTACCGACCACTATTGTATGGTCAGTAACTGACCTGACCAGTCACTTTTGTATGGTTAGAATGTTACTGTTGGTCAGTTGTATGGTCAGTGACTGTCCTTACCGATCACTATTTTATGGTTAGACAGTTTCTGTTGGTCAGTTGTATGGTCAGTGACTGTCCTGATCAGTCACTATTATATGGTTAGACTGTTTCTGTTGGTCAGTTGTATGGTCAGTAACTGTCCTGACTGACCACTATTGTATGGTTAGAATGTTACTGTTGGTCAGTTGTATGGTCAGTGATGACCACTATTTTATGCTTAGACTGTTTCTGTTGGTCAGTTGTATGGTCAGTAACTGTCCTGACTGACCACTATTGTATGGTTAGAATGTTACTGTTGGTCAGTTGTATGGTCAGTGACTGTCCAGTCAGGTTACTATTGTATGGTCAGCCTGTTTCTGTTGGTCAGTTGTATGGCCAGTGACTGTCCTTACCGACCACTATTGTATGGTCAGTAACTGTCCTGACCAGTCACTTTTGTATGGTTAGACTGTTTCTGTTGGTCAGTTGTATGGTCAGTGACTGTCCTTACCGATCACTATTATATGGTTAGACTGTTTCTGTTGGTCAGTTGTATGGTCAGTAACTGTCCTGACTGACCACTATTGTATGGTTAGAATGTTATTGTTGGTCAGTTGTATGGTCAGTAACTGTCCTGACTGACCACTATTGTATGGTTAGAATGTTATTGTTGGTCAGTTGTATGGTCAGTGACTGTCCTGATCAGTCACTATTATATGGTCAGCCTGTTTCTGTTGGTCAGTTGTATGGCCAGTGATTGTCCTTACCGACCACTATTGTATGGTCAGTAACTGTCCTGACCAGTCACTTTTGTATGGTTAGAATGTTACTGTTGGTCAGTTGTATGGTCAGTGACTGTCCTTACCGACCACTATTTTATGCTTAGACTGTTTCTGTTGGTCAGTTGTATGTCAGTAACTGTCCTGACTGACCACTATTGTATGGTTAGACTGTTTCTGTTGGTCAGTTGTATGGTCAGTAACTGTCCTGACTGACCACTATTTTATGGTTAGACTGTTTCTGTTGGTCAGTTGTATGGTCAGTGACTGTCCTTACCGACCACTTTTGTATGGTTAGACTGTTTCTGTTGGTCAGTTGTATGGTCAGTGACTGTCCTTACCGACCGCTATTTTATGGTTAGACAGTTTCTGTTGGTCAGTTGTATGGTCAGTGACTGTCCTGATCAGTCACTATTGTATGGTTAGAATGTTACTATTGGTCAGTTGTATGGTCAGTGACTGTCCTTACCGACCACTTTTGTATGGTTAGACTGTTTCTGTTGGTCAGTTGTATGGTCAGTGACTGTCCCGTCAGATATTTAGTATTTAAGCCATGCAGACTTAACATAGTATACAAACAAGACTTGTCTATATGTATTGTTGTTACAGTACTGGCTATGTTCAGTATATGCTGAATACTTTATTATCAATAACAGGAGAGAGGTTTTTCCTCCTGATAAATTTGAGGCAAATTTTACATTAATGAAACTGAAAAAAAAACATATTTTGATATGAAGTAAATTTTCAAAAAAGTTGACATTTCTTACCTTGTACCAGTAAAACATGATTATTTTCAAACAATTTGTCCCAATCTCGATATTCTTAAGTCAAATAATGTAATTTACTTTAATTTTGAGATTCACCTTAAAAAACAAACTTAAGATATCTGTGAGATATTTGAATTCATACTTAAATCTTAACAAACCAATAAGAATATAACCTTAGGACAAGAACACTGAGTGACATTTACAAAAAGCAGATCTCAATATAAATATTTTCAGAAATGGTCTACTGGAAAAATTCAAAACACTTTTTATTTAAAAATCAAATTTTCGAGCATCTTAGAACCTAAAACTGACAACTGAAAAACCTACAGCCACCCACTATTTATTGCAAGTTGGATAAAAGTCTGTTGACAAGACGTTGCTTTAAAATCAATGCTATGTGTATACTACATGAAAGCCTCTGAGAAGATTTGTCATGATATATGTGTATCTCTCCCTGTTGCCAGAAGTTGATGTCCCTCTACCATCTGTTTTGGTCTGTTGTGGGTACAACACTTGCCTTTAAAAGTCTTTTGTATTCCATCTTCAACTCATTACCAAGACTTTTTTTCATGAAGAATCAAAGTCATATCAAATTATACCTGTCATTATTCTTATTATACCATGTAAATCTGACAAGATTTTAAGGAGATTTTACATATCATTAAAGCTGGTTTGGTCGTTTGTTTTTTTCAAATAAGTTTACCTGAAGATGGAAATTCTCCACAATTCACAGAAACATGTTTATGGTTGAATTTGAAAAACCTGTCAATGCTAAATATTACTGTGGTTTTACACAGGACAAATAATAAGGTAGTCAGTTTGCAAAGTGATTTTGCATATATAAAAGAATTTTCATACCACTTCAGACTTATCAATTACAAGACATGATAAAAAGAATTAACCTTATATCTTATATGAAAAACAAAAAAAAATTCTTTTAAAATTACAAAGGACACTCATTATAGCTTTATATATCAGAGGCTAAATTTTAACCAGCATTCTCTCACATTTTTTGTTATGTGCATCTGATACAACTCAAAATTCAAACAAATATGGATTTTAGCAACAGACAAACACAACATTTATAATACTGAGCCAATACTGTTAAAAAGCACTAGGCTGTTAATCCAATACAGCACTGATAAAGTGGTGGCAATAACGTGGTGACATTCTATACAGGTACATATCAAAAATATCTTAATTCATCTCACAATCTCATGCATCTATCTAACCAAGGCATAAATCAAACTGAATACAGATTTCTTTTTCTTTACAACAATCATTACAAGAAATACATGAACTGTAATAGGAGTAAAGATAAAAGTACAGTTGAAAATGTTCTCATTTCATTTTGCACTACAATGCGACGTGCAGTGGAAACCAAGGCCAGATTCTGAATTATGATAAATGGTGACAAATATCAAACAATTCTGATTATTTTGATCATCATGTAGTCTTGAAATTAATCATGAAAGATCATACCCAGAAAATCCACCAATACGACACAGATATGAAGTCACGAAACGTTAAGTTTAGAGAAAAGAAAAACGACTATTAGTTGTATGCACTATATGTGAATGTTGCTTTACCTTTAGTTTGAGTCTTTGATTTTCCAGATTTTCTGTTGTTATCAGTGGTATTGCTGCCATTTTTATTTTTTTCTGTCTTATTTTCCAAGTTGTATGGTAGATCATAGGTACTGTTCAAGCAAAAGACTTAGGATTAAATGCAAAATTTAATACATGAATGTTTATGTAACTCCACACTTCAGTAATCATATTAGTTAATGAAATGGAGACAAAAATATATCTAATCTAATAAGAACATTTACCAGCCTTACTAATAACTCATTAAAATGTCTGTAAGAATTTTTTTTATAAACAGAAGAATGTCTGATTTTCAAAATGAGTTTATTTTTTCTCTTAATTTCTGTCATACAAGAAAATGTGCTAGATAGGATTCCTTTTTATAATTTCAATTGTCAACAAATTATTTCCAAAAAACAATAACAGTGACCTTGACATTGGAACCCTGAAATAATAACTTATCAAGGAATTGTCATCATTGACCTAATTCTTTGCAGAAGTATTCAGGAAGGGACAAAAAATGGGAAACAATGTATCTTTCGACTAATAAAACTGTGGATGCAGAGAATCTATCAAATGTTTAAGTTGTACTTACTCAGGCATGAGGATGTTGCCACCGTAGGCGTCCTTGGAGCTGACCTTGATCCTCTTATGGGCCTTAGATTTGGAGGTCAATTCAAATTCATCATCATCATAGGTATCGTCGTAATGACCAAGCATTTTGACTGTTCGGGGTTTAGACTTGCGTGGCTTGGATGGTGGGGGCTCAGGAGTGGAATCTCTTGCACTTGAGCTCTGTAAAAGAAAAACAGGCTCATGAGCCTTCTACTGAAAATGTATATTGCATTATCTCTGTGATGACTGGGATTTGATTTCCCAATCAGACATAAAAATATCAATTACCTGCCCAACTACATGAACACTCTATAGCTATTCTACTTTTTCACATGATACAACCCCGTTTAAGCTTCAATCCATGCCAACAAGAATAATGAAGTTTTAAATGTTATGTTACTTCATTAAAGTTATCACATGTCATGTTGATACCAAGGTAAGAAGAAACCAACCGTTTCATTAATGTCCAGGAACTAACCTTCTCATCACCATCTCCCACGGAGGATTCTGTAGTAGTGGAGGACGTTTCGTCCTTGTCGTCGGAGATGTTCCTCACATATCTATTGACGGGGATTGCATCTCGTTCTGAGCGTTTCATTCTTTTCTTGCCTTTGTTCTTACCTGTTGAGATCAACAATTTCGAAGGAAATGCTTATTAATAAACTCACAAAGTTAGAAAATGTCATTCACTGGGCACACATATCAGTCTAAATAGATACGTAAGTAAGTTAACACAGCAGCAACCATCTGAAAAAATGTCAAAACTCTGAACCAAAGAAATCTTGTATGACTACATGATGTTTAGCAGTGTTAAAACAATAATTTAAATACATTGACATATTCTTAGTTATCTAAAAGATTTCTGTTACATAGGAATCTTTCCTGCTTTCTTTTTCTCAGAAGACACATTAACTTATCTAGATGTCACTAGCTTTGAATAGCGATTGCAATATTACCTACCGAGAAGACTTTCATTAGGTTACCTTTAGTTCTAATTCATATCTAATTTCAAATCAACCAATACATTCCCAATATATAACATATATTACATAATGACACAAATGACAAATGTCCCATACTTACCGTCCATGGTCGCCTGAGTATTGCTGACCAATTCATCTGGTAAGGTGATATCGTCTAGTGTATCGGTCATTGAGCTTGACCGTGTCTTTCCATATCGTTCTTGTTTGTCCATCTTATCCATTAGGGACAGACGGACAGACTCGTTTGGTAGTTTCTTGTTGTCCAGGGTTGATGTCTCCTTGTTTCCCCCGCGTGTGGGAAGACAATGATTCTCTGTGTTAAGGTGGAGTTCGTGTTGACGTTTAGCTGCCTTGGATTTTTTTGTCTTCTGTGTGGGTATGGATTTCTCAGATATAAATGATTCCTGCTTCAGAGAAGGTTTTTCTTTCTCCTGCCCAGGTTTACAGTTATTACCTATCGGTTGTGTAGATTCAGAAGATTCCTGCACCTCCACTTTTGGTCGAGCAGGAGCACGAGAGGGTTTCGGAGAGAAAAAGTTCTTAGCAATACTGAGAAGAGTAGAATAGAAGGGCTGAGTTTTTGAATTGTGCTCTACATGCCCATTGGATAATTCCATTAGGGGCTTTGTATTAGGTGGGTTACGTCCCTCTGTCAGCTGGGAAAGCTTTACTGGAGCACAGTTATTTATACCGGCCACTTGCTTGAGATCAAATACTTTACCCTTATCAAAGGTCTGTGTGGAACTGCTGATTTTTATCTTCCTACGGATAATATCAGACACAAATATTCTATCTGCTTCAAAGTAAGCTGCTACTAAAATACAGCAGAGCAGGAAGCCCATGGCACATACTATAGAGTAATAGAGCACAGGTTCCCAATTAGGCCGAGGTAGGGCGGCGGAGCACTTGGATAAAGTATGTGGTGGTACAGTAGCTTGGAGGGTATAGTTAGCTGGTGCCCCCAGACTTGTGTATACTGTCAGCGTCCGACGTATCCTAGACATGGTAAAGTCAGGGGTGAACCTACAAACACAAACACTCGGTGTTACTATAAAATACTAGTTGTCATACATTCTGAGTAAAGAGCTGATTCAGTGTGCGGAGTTTTATTTTTCCCTTCCTAATCTGAAATTCCAACTGTATAATGAGTCACGTCACAGAATCTGTAAAATAACACCTTGTCAATATTCAAGTCATCAGCTTTGTTAGTGATATCAAAATATACATTTACAAAGTCTATCTGATTTTCTCCACTAACAGTAACCTGTAAAACAGCACATCAATGTAACAAATATGCTTGGTTTTTTTTTTGTCCATTAAAAACATCTTAAATGGTTGAATGCCAACTAATTCTATTCTTTTAGAAGTTGATATTGATCAAAACTAACTAAAAAATGTGAATATATTTTTTTAAGATATCCTGTTTATCTTATGTCACGAAATTTTTCATCCGTTAAAATTTCACATATATATTTGCTGTAGTATAAACAGGTGAAATCACAAATAAATTTCTAATTTTGAAATTAATACCTTTATTAATTTATATCTATATTGTATTATATTATACTTACGCTATATCAATTTTGCGACTGGTATTGGGAAGCATTTGGAAGCCATCACAATCAAGTACCCTAAAGCCATAACCCTCACAAGGCGCTCCATTGATACAATAACCATGCACATAAAATGGTAGTTCTCCTGTATTTTTCAGAGTGAAGGATCTTCTAACAGTAAAATTGGGTGTCATGCTTTTTGTGTGCTTCTTTTCTGTAAATGTGAAAGAGAAAGGAACTTAAACAATGAAACAGTATCACAAATTTGATATCAAAATCATATCAAATTCCCTCTATTTTCTTTCTCATCAATATATTTGCATAAGCAATTTTCAATTTAGTAAAGAATATGAAAGGAAAACGTGAATAACCTGAATAGTTACTTAAATTTTACAAATGTTGTAATTTTTGCCAACATTAACAATTCCATATTTAAAATTTGCTTATTCTACTAAAAATGTTTAATGTATTTAAGGTCTCCTACTTACTATCACAGTTTTTTAGATGTTTCTCTGTCATGTCAAACTGGAGTGGTATACCAGACCCTGGTTTTTTGTTGCTGAGTTTCATCTCGCCTCGACCGCCCTGTCCCTGAATAACTAAAGCGTCTAAAATTGTCACATTGTTCCTGATGAGTATTAGAGATGTTCGTGAAATATCATCCTTTGGGTGGAATCCAACTCGAACTTTGATTTTTCCATCTGGGCCTAAAATAGTTGTGATGCTCTCTGGGTGAGGTTTAACCCCAAATTTATCCTCTACACTTTTTGGATTTGTCTGAAAAATAAGTAAAGATATTTTTGTCTCTACATCGTGTTCCAAAAGTTAAAGACATATATCTATATTTAAAACACAATCAAAATATTGCGATCATTTTGGTACTGATTATAACAGTTATACAATTAAGAAAGAATGTTAAAATTGATCAATCAAAGCATGAAAAACTTACAAAAAGGTAAATGTCATTCAATTTAAGTTGTCAATGCTTAACTTTTAGCATTTGATTTTGTAATATCCGGAATGAAAACATATGGTTTCAATAAAGTGTGGCTTAAATTGAATAAATCCAAGAACATTACATATTCAAAACTGTTCACACACTTTGAGGGAAATTATAGCATAAGACTTTCGCTAGATGCCACTAATAATCTATTCACATATTTCCACCAATCAGAAAGCTAGAATTGGTACTAACAATTAGTTCCAAAGGCTGTGACATTAGACTGAAACCATAATTGCGTTACGCAGCACTTACATTGTATCTCTCTAAATCAGGAAGAGTAAAAATATCTACATCTTCTGTCTCGATATAGTCTGTAATTTCTGATGATATTCTGCAAAAGAAAAATAAGTTCACTTAATGACATTCTCACAAGGTATATCATGTTATTTTCTTATCTCAAGGTTATACAGATTAAACATTCACTATTTCACTATTTCTACTGGACCTATCTATTTCTGGGATACACCCTATCCTATGTATTGCCCTACTGAAACAAGATTAAATGTTCTATAATATTAACTTCCAAACCAGAACAAAACATGAATTTTAACAGTAAAATAAGAATATATCTCTAAACTGAGAAAAATGTCTATCCTTGCTCCTTTACAAACCAGAAATTTGATAGGTGTAGAACATGATGTAATGATAAAATGCGGTAAACATGAACCAAATCTGTAAAACTCAAGTTTTGCTTATGGGTCCCACTCATAAAATTCAATATTATTGATAATTTTCTTTGAAGTAATAGGCAGGAAATCACACCATGAATAGGAGTGACTTTTTGGAGTCCTGGGGTCAAATAGACGTTTTACAGTATTAGTTCCCCTAAGACAACACTGATTCAGAATGCGACACAATGAATATGTATAGGTAATAATATTAGCTCCCCTTTCAAAGTGCCTAGGACATAAAAATTCTTTGTAAATATCACCATCACTTGTTGAATTCTGTAAAAGGGGAAATTTCTGCCCAGCAGACTCTCCTTAAACCATATGGAGGACTGGTAACTTTCAGAATTTTGAAGCCATGGAATGATATAAGTCTTTTTCACCATATTCCATACATTTTTCATATAAATTACCTCCAATTCAGCATATCCAGCAAAGTTTGAGCATTTGGATAAAAAGCCAGTGGAACCATCTGTATCAGTACTGGAGATGTACCAGGATTCTCTACGATGAAGTCTGCCGTCTGTCAAAATCATCCGAAAATTGAAATATGAAGGAAATTGGTCTGGAGTGATTAAACAGATTTGTAACATTTGTCAAAGAATATGATTAAGTGTTGACAAATAATATACTTATCATGTACAATTACAATTTTGAAGTAAGAAAATTCAAGTTTATCATGCTGAATCTGAAATCCTTTTAATCTGACACACCTTTTTTCAAATGGACTGAAAAACAGAAGACAGCGGCAAAACAGCTTGATGTGAAAAGATTTTTTAAAGACTAAACTGGTTTATTGTTCAGAGTAAAACAAATGTTTATTAAAGTTGTCAATTTTCTGGATCTAATTCTGTCACTTACAGAAGAATTTCCGATCTGTGTAAGAGGAAATCGGATCTTGCACATTTTGACAAGCGAAGGCCATTCCATGTGGGCTTGAGCCGAGTATAAAAAGCCTCTCACTTCACTTGTATCCAACTCTATAGTAACATTGGCCCTGAAAAGCAAAAACAATAAAAGAATATGTACAATTGTTCCACAGACTTTGACAATATTATATTTGTGCACCAACCAATAGACAGACTTAAGATAATTCTTCCAGGCCAATATTTATTTTAAACAGATGGTTAAATTTTCCCTCAGCTCTGTAATAATATCTACTAGCCTCAGACATTTTGCTAGTGAAATTCCTGCACCAATGACACAGATATGTAAAAATGCTTTCTTTTTATTCTCGTACCACATTCTACTTATGTTTGATACAGCATTATCTCAGCATCTCACCAGAACCAAAGATTCAGTTATCAAATCTGATCAACATTAAGTCAGTTCATGCATTTGTTTATTCAAGAATATCAAACTTGCACATCTGGACAGTAAATGTTATTTCTATTATATCTTTACCCCTTCATTTTTATTTCTGTCTTCTTTTTATAATGTACTTACGTATGAAGGCCAGCCTGTTGGATTTTATGCCATTTTTGTTGCAATCTTGTGAAAAAATATTGATCTGTATCGGCAACTTCTTTTTCTAAAGTAAGCCCAAGCAACCACTGATGTCCAGCTGTGGGTTAAAATAAGCCTTTCATGACACATTTAGTTTAAATCAACTGTCACTTGTTCTACTTAAATATTATTTTGTAAATGTTTTCCATGGTTGTGTGAATATTTTATGTAAGTGCGAATGATTCGTGATTATCGGCAATACTTACGAGGTGTGTTCAGCGGTAATCCTACATAGCAGTCTTCGCCACATTCCTTTTTTGCATCAAAATAAACTCTGCCAACCTGCAATAAGAAAACAGATGTTTCAGAGATTGGTTTGAATTTAAATTATGGCAAGATTCCTTACAAAGACAAATCTGGACCAAATTTACTCTGTTAATTTCTTGAACCAAACAAGACAAAGTATAATTTATCACTCTGTATTTTTACTGGAATCAGTACTTAGTATTTCCTGAATAAAATGAATAAAATCAGTATTTATACCAATCACATGATTTCCTTGTTATTCAGTGAATTTCATATTTTTGCTTATTTCTTAGCTTATTAAGACTTTAGATAATCATGACGTGTGACTTAGGATAATCATGACGTGTGACTTTAGATAATCATGACGTGTCACTTTAGTGTGACTTTTGATAATCATGATGTGTGACTTTAGATAATCATGACGTGTGACTTTAGTGTGACTTTTGATAATCATGATGTGTGACTTTAGATAATCATGACGTGTGACTTTAGTGTGACTTTAGATAATCATGATGTGTGACTTTAGATAATCATGACGTGTGACTTTAGTGTGACTTTAGATAATCATGACGTGTTACTTAAGATAATCATGACGTGTGACTTTAGATAATCATGATGTTTGACTTTAGATAATCATGACGTGTGACTTTAGTGTGACTTTAGATAATCATGATGTGTGACTTTAGATAATCATGACGTGTGACTTTAGTGTGACTTAAGATAATCATGACGTGTGACTTTAGATAATCATGACGTGTGACTTTAGATAATCATACGATGTGTGACTTTAGATAATCATGACATGTGACTTTAGATAATCATATGATGTGTGACTTTAGATAATCATGACTTGTGACTTTAGATAATCATATGATGTCATAAGAAATTCAAACTAAATGAGAACAAATTTCACTAACAAGAAAAAAACTTACTACAGTATTGTGTAAAGGTTCCAACACGATCCTGTCTGTGTTGGTTGATTTGTAATAGAACCTAGGATCTGACGGCTGGAACGACACGCCGGTCACTGTCATGTATTCACGGAATGTACTGTATATCTGTATTACTCTGTATGGAATATTCCCCTGGAAAGTCCAATAACAAAACAATCAATTTCTGCAAACCTTGCATCTGATTTATATTTGATTTAGGTTTGAAAAATGTTGTGTAATTATATACTGTAAATCAGATGTTTTTTGCAGACATCAACTTTCATATTTTTCATACTTTTTCGGTAGATTTCATGGATTAATATAATTCAATAAATCTGCTTATACTAGCTTACAAAGCTCGTGAGTATATGGTGATTTCACAGTATGCTCCCAATGAGTTAAGAGTCATAAAAATCACTAACACATATGGAAATGACTGTTATGAAATGACATTATAAAATATTTGAGTAATTGACTTTTCAAACAGATGACTATTAATTTGTTATGGCAAAGTCAAAACTGTATTCACCTAGCCACCTTATTAGTAGACCATAAAATGGTTTTTTACTGCAGGTAGTCTCTCTGATACAGGTTTAGATTAAATTATTTTACAATGAAAAATATAATCACTGAAATGCATCTATGCATGAAAACCACTAAAATTAGGAATTTATATGTTGCTTTTTAATTTTATTTATTACATGATCTATTGCTTCAATGACTAGTGTTACTTACAGGATATGCTTTGTCAAATACAAGTGATTCTGGTATAAAGTGCAGGCTCCCAGCAGCTGTTCTTACTGATATAGGAATCCATATATCCTATAAAACAAACACCATATATCATGATCATGGTTTTTTCTGCCACATACGTGGGGCTGACAATGGGCCCCATGCCCAGTTGGATTCACTTCATATTATGACCAAATTCCTAAAATAAATAGTTTATTTAAAAAAACTATCCTTCCGAATTGATCATTTGTTTTCCAAAATGAGATAACAAGACCCTATTGAAAATGAGTGGGAAAGAACTCCAGAGTAAAATTACATTTACATGTTACAAATTGAAAAAATTAGAAAGATACAGGAAAGATAATGGAACATATATCTGGTCTCCCTGACGATGTCAACATGTAGCCATAGGGACAACAGAAATAAACTGCCAAACAAGTTGATCTATCTAAAGGATAATCCTGTTCATAATGATTAACTTATTGCACTTTAGTTCAAGTTCGAATCGGTGTAAAACAACAAAATATAAAGATATACACTAAACTGCCTTGTTACAATATTCACCCACACATTAAACGACAAAAGTATAATATATTTTACAAAAACCTAATCATTTCTTATTGAATTCAAATTAAAATTTTGAATAATTCCATATTATTTCCCTGGAAAGCAATAATAATTCTTGAGTTGTAATTATAAATACAACTTTTAACAAGAAACAATTAATCTGAGTGAATATCTATTCCAGACAGTGAAAAGGGCACTTTCTATAATACTGAAGATTTGAACTAAGAACGATTTAACAAACTAACAAGTACCTGGAACTGAGTTGTTATAAGCATATCTGTAGAGAAATCTCCTTCGTAATCAGGTGCTGTTAAATTTAAGCTGAATACTGCAAAATGGTATGGTTTTATTTTAAGCTGCAAAGAAAACAAATCAGAATTAATGTCTAGTAACTGCAAACAAAAGTAAATATGCAATACAAATGTTTCGCAAAATCATTTTTGTGTAAGACTACTTTTTACATTTTGTTTTCTGTCTAGATGCTATAATTAAGATTTCTTGTAAGCAATTTTATTGAGACTTTTAATCACATATAAGTTGTGGCTGATTTTGAGGTGGAAAAGCTTCCGTGTCATTTCTAGGACATTATGATCATCATGTACTTACAAAGTTATAATCCACATCAGTGGTGTTATGGATTCTTGTCAATGTTGTACCATTCCCCTTCTCCATCCCTAAAAACTGCACCACTGTACCATTCAGGTCCGGAGTTATCTCCCCTATGTGAACCTGCAGGAAAAAAAGACAGGCCTCTAGGAACAACTTTTATCAGTCTGTAAATTTGAGTTTTTTTTTTATCTAAATTCAAAATGTTATTTCAGAAGTTTTTACTTCTCCTCCTCCAGATGTACAGAGTGTACTCACGTCTACAGGGTTATCATTTCTGAGGGTAAACACCATACTTCTAGTCTCCTGTATTCCCATCGTACCAAAATCCAGCTGACCTTTGAACCTCTCCGGTCTATGGGGTATCACCTGTAGGATTGAATAGGAGTCAAGTCAATATACAGATTCAAGATCAAAATCTTTTTAGTTGATCATTGCCAAAAAAGCTGCACAAGACTTTATTACCCAGAAATTTATCAAATTGTTGAAGGTCACTATGTCAAATACTAGACCAAACAGCACCAGGGTTACAGAATTTATTTGTTTGCTTACCATTATAGACCATTTTCTTGGAGGAGGGGATGGGATGGTGGGGCCCACTGAGGGCAAGTGAACAGAACTTACATTTAGCATTTACCAAGCTGTTGTAGAGGTGTAGAGGGGAGGTAAACAGAACCTACATTTAGCTGACTGTTGTAGAGTTGTAAAGGGGAGGTAAACAGAACCTACCTTTAGCTGGCCATTGTAGACGACTATGGGCACAGTGAATGTGGAGGCATTTGTATGCAGTGTTAAGTGAGAGTTGAAGTGGAGCTGCGTTTCATTGGGATGGAATTGCAGCAGGAATGGTACAAGTGTATGTTGTGGCTGTAATATCACAGGCTTTGTAAAGTTGAGGATCTACAACAGAAAAATAGACATAGACATATAAAGTGAAAACTTTCTTTCATAAACATTTAAAAAAAAAATTCTAATTCTTTTGATGGCATTACCATTTTGATAAGAGTCTAAATTCCTGATCATGTTAAATGTTAGGTTTTTATATGCTTATCGCTCAATAATACTGAGTTATCAGTATAATTTTCAAAGATAATTCAAAAGATCCATCCATTATGACTGTCATACACTTAATTCAGAAAAGGCCTGAACGATATCAAACAGTGTCAAAAGCCAAACTGTATATTTCAACAAAACTGCAGTCTGTATTTTACGACAATAGGCCCATGTTTTTAATAAGCCCATCTTCACACATTTTCGGTACAAAATCACCAAATTTTATACCATTGTCCTGGTAATTTGCCCATCCAGAAACAATATTAATATGAGGGCCCCCTGACTTACTGCAGGACATACTTACAGAAAAGAAGTGTGCTATGTCACGAGGAAGAGTGACATTATAAACAACTACAGAGAAGTTGAATGTATTTGTAAATGTCATGACCCGTGTGATGTTCATCAGGTTTTTGGCACTGAAGAACTGTGAACTATTGGAGTTGTATACCAATGACCTGTGGAAGAAAAATGTAATTCAAATTTAAGTGACATAATTGTTGTAAAATAAACGTTTAAGGAAAAATACAAATAAAGAGATGCTATTAAGTGAAAATAATAAAAAAAAAAAAAAGCAAAAATTGTGAAATTTTGTGACCCTATCTTTTTGGTTCATTACAAATTACTAAACAACAATTTAGCAACTATAAATTCTGATTATATACATTATAACAACATATGAAATATCTAGTTCCCTCTTTTGTCGTCTTGTTACCTCTAAAGCAAGGAAGTCATTTGGTAGAGTAATTTATTTTTCACATGAAGAGTAGGTAGTAACAGCAACATGGTAAAGTGCATGTAGATGAAACTTACCCATGAAGTACAGTAGCTTGGTATGGTATCACAGTTTTCACGTGGGAGTTTTTAGTTTTCACAATAATTTTTCCCGACCACTGTTTTGGATGAAAAGCTTTTGCAGCTGAAAAAGCAAGATTTTCAAAATTATTTTTTGATACTCTCTAGAAATCATCTACCTAAAGAATATCTCCCTTAGAAAAAATTGTTTGAAAACTTTGCTTAAGGGTACATCCTACCTTATCTTTATTCTTTCAAGGAGAACTCCAGATAAAGAGAGGTTATCTAGAATGTAGACTTGAAACTGGTGTTAACATTGTGAGAAAAAAGTTTCTCACCAACAACTATAGAAATTTTTGAAAACTATTAATTATTCAATTTCAAGTAAAAACATTTTAAAACAAACAAACTTTCAATCATAAATGATGAAGTATTCAATTACAATTGTTTCAAATTTATACAAACAACGACTGTATCTATCTGGAACTCATCAACCATATTGTTAACCTGATAAATAGGTCAGTAAAGTGTGACAAGATATAACAGAGATACTGAGCTAGGAAGTTTACACATGAACCAAAACATTTAAATGACTATGGGAACATCTATGATCCGCTAACTAAGTAATGAAATGCTGCAAACAGTCAGCGTTCACTGACACGACATCAATAATTAAGTTAAAGTATACAGGAGAATTTACACTGGATAAACTCTGATTCATTAGAAGATAACTTGCTACATATTTGAAACTTGAATTACAGCTTAGCTTTTTCTATAATAAATATTTTTCATACTATATTTCTCACAAAGTACTCCAGTCTTAAGTAGGTTAAGGAGAATTTATCTACGACCTGGAGCAAGTATACTAACAATAATGTAAAAAAAATCAGCAACATCAAGGACAACCCCAGGTATGATATCTAATTCACAGACATATTACGGTTACATCCGGTCAGCCAAGCGTGCAAATGCAGTTTTATCATTTCATCAGCAATATTGCATCATGTTTTATTTAATCATAAAAACACTAAGGTGGAATAAGTGTTTTACTATTTGGTTGCAGAGAGCAGATCAACTTTCTACCTTCACTCCAGTTGCTGATAGAAATCTATATGTGCTTTGCAATATTAATGCATCAAAACCATTAAGAACTTCACAAATTTTTCACTTACGTATCATTTCATCTTACTATATTTTGCCTCTCAACAAATATAAACTAGTATGCTACATAAACAGAATTTAACAACAGGCATGGCCTATATCACTTTCCTCCTTAATTACTTTAAGTTTGAAAATGGACGTCTAAATCAATACAAAAACAATAATGAGACATTGGAAACACAATGATCTTATGATAATAAATCAATTTTCATTTAGTTTGAGGTTTACAAAAGAGAATTAAAATGTATTTGCTTTTGAAGAAAATTTATGAAATGTTCTTTTAGTAAACTGGCAAATAACACCAAATAATCAACATAGCTATTACATATTCTAATCCACATCAACCGACAATATTTGTACACAATTAAATTTTGTTGTGCTAATAAATACATTCTATCCCTGAAAATTAATTAATGACTGTAAACACTCCAGTGTACCTATACACTCACCTTTAAATGTTACCTGTGCCATTAACAGCTGTAAACACTCCAGTGTACCTACAGACTCACCTTTAAATGTTACCTGTGCCATTAACAGCTGTAAACACTCCAGTGTAACTATAGACTCACCTTTAAATGTTACCTGTGCCATTAACGGCTGTAAACATTCCAGTGTACCTATAGACCCACCTTTTAATGTTATCTGTGCCATTAACGGCTGTGAACACTCCAATGTACCAACAGACTCACCTTTAAATGTTAACTGTGCCATTAACGGCTGTAAACACTCCAGTGTACCTATACACTCACCTTTAAATGTTATCTGTGCCATTAACGGCTGTAAACACTCCAATGTACCAACAGACTCACCTTTAAATGTTATCTGTGCCACTGGCGTTTGTCTTATAATGTCTGGCTGTAGTCGGATTGGCCGAAATTCTACTGATATAGCATTGTTTGGAGGAGACACTGTGATTCCCTGTAGAAAACGAAAAACAAATTTCATTAACTATAATATCTAAATGTAAAGGTTTTGTAAAGCAACTGCCACATCTAAAGGTTTTGTAAAACTTCCTATCACATGAAAAGGTTTTGTAAGTCTACTGTTACATGTAAATGTTTTGTAAGGCTACTGTTACATGTAAAGGTTTTATAAGGCTACTGTCACATGTAAATGTTACATAAAACTTACTGTCACATGTAAAGGTTTTGTGCCAGTGTTAAGTAAGCTGAGCTGTACTGTGGTCGGCTCGTCCAGCGTCCGGAGAATACCGAAGTCTATCAATTCTAATGGAGAATAGATCCCAGGAACTAAAAACAATACAAAATATGCAGTTACTATCAGTCACCATCTATTCAATAGTCAAAGAACTAAAAATGATCTATTGTCAAAAAATTATTTATTTTACCCTTTACATTACCTTACCTTCTTAAAACAAGCACTTTAATTTAAGATTTAATCAAAGATTATTTCAAAAGCACATTAATCATCAGAACAAATTAATTTGTCAATCCAGTAAAATGTATTTCTTACCACTTACTTGTTCAAAGGCCATAATTTAAATAAAATTATCTATCGGACATCAATTTTTTAAAAAAATCTTTCAGGGGTGAAAAAATGTATTTCAATCCCTAGCAAGTACATAAAACCCCTTCTGGGCTTTCTGCAAGTGAACATTTTCACCTTGTTCTGGCCTTTTTATAACCTTGGGATATAATGAGGCGTAAAACAAAAAAAGTACCTGATGACACCTCCACTTCCAGAGGAAGTATTAGGAGTCGGTTTTTGTGTTCCTGGTTAGTTTTTATTCTGATGAAAGCTGTATGGTTGTTCTCAACCCTCCCTATAAAGTTCGCCTTCATGACTGCTTTGGTCTCATACGGAGGGATCTCCTGAATAAAAAGAGAAAGAAATGAAATATACATATAAATATTTCATACAACAATGAACTGGATAATTGCATGTACCCATACCCCAAAGTAAGAAAGATAATTCTGACATTTTGAATTGTAATAAAAAAAAAACGGTCTTGCAAGTCCTTTCAATATATCAGTATATTATTTTACTTCTTAATAGGTACTTTTGAAACAAGTGATCTTTCCTGACCTTCAATCATTTCTATGGAATATGAAATTGACTGAAGTATGACCTTAATAATTGTTCTGTAATATAACCCTGAATTAACTGTGAATTGAACAACTGATTCAATTTTTGGTATTTTTTGTGTTTTACTTTTTCCCCTATAATGAGGCTTGAATTTTGTTTTACAACCTCTATTTTACCACATGATGTGGACCTTAACCTATATTTTGCGGTGTAATGTGGACCTTGACCTATATTTTGTGGTGTAATGTGACCTTGACCTATATTTTGTGAATTTATAATACAAAATGACCTATACTTTTTCATGTAATGTGACACTGACTTACATTTTTTGTGGACTGTAACTTTGGCCAGTTTTCATACATACCCATAAATTCTTTGGTGCCTCTAACTCCCCTGTGGGTAATTCAAGGTGCAGGTCACCTTCACTGGAAAACATTTCTAAAACCTGAAACATAATACATAAAGTCTCATAGATTAAACTTCCCAAAACAAATAAGGATATGATGATCAATAGTATATTATGTACATGGAAAGGAGGAAAAAATGTGCTCAAGGACCTGTGACTACAATTAAGCCATAAAACTCAGTCTTCCAAAGTCGAAGGTTGTCTGCACTAATAAATAAATCATCATACATTTTAGAGTATATTGTTCACTCACCTGTAACATTGACGAATGAGGATTATGCATTTGTATTATAGGTGAAAAACTACTGTTGAGTGGAACTTTTGCTCCTAAATAAGGTCGTAATCTATATGGATTGGGGATGCCGACGCCAAATACCTATAAATAGAACACAGTACTTATATGGTGGACCTGTGTGGATGATGTCATTCACTAGAAAAAAATTATAGTCAATAACAACATCTCATTACCGAGAAATATATTTTCAAAATTCCAAACCAGCGAGAAAAGACAATGATATTCATGAGCAGAAAATAAACAGAGAAGTATAAAAATTTCTTTGTCATCTCAAACATGACATCTTAAGTATTGGTACATATATGCTGTGAAAATTCCTATGTCAGAAGTATATATAAATACCAAGGTAAGTATACATAATTACTTACATGGTATGTAAATGGCCCCTGTGAGGTGTGTATGTATAATGTATTTTCTGCATTTCCTTCCTGTCTGGCTAAAAATACAACATCAAATGTGGTATTGCCTCCTGGAGGGACTGTCTGTAAAACAAAACACAAAATATGACATTAAAATGACAGTGTAGATATTGTCAAACTAGAGTTAGGTAGAAGTTAAACAACAGAAAAAAAACTAATAAAGGTTTTGCCATGGTGTGATTGCTGGGAAAAATAACTCATCAAATCACCTACAGGTATTTTTTCAATGAATTTACTTTTTTAAAGACATGATATAGCCATCTAAGTGAAGACATCTTGTTGTGTAAACCTCAGAGAGCTCTTCTAATTATGTTTCAAGAAATATGTTCTACAGTCACATTTCATTAAAGTACCCTTATGTTGCTGAATAATCTCCCAAAGAATTCTTGGATCATAACAGCTTAAAAATATCATCATTCATGGGCAGAACAGATCATTAAAATTTAGGAGCTCAAGGTTACAAGACATAAAAACAGGTTATTTTTATTTTTTCCAAATCTGTTTTTAATTACACTGGTTGCGCAGCTAGAATTAACAAAATAAAAATTGAAATCTATGTAAGGATTAAAAACCTAATTAAAATGCTCTCTAATAAAGTTATTTTTGTTGTATTTTAACAAGCTAAAGTGAAATTTTAAAATGTAGCTATTGATTCCATTCGAGATATACCACCATGATCATTATTTCCGAAAAAAAAAGAAAAAAAAGAAATATAAGTGAAACTGCATTTGAAGAGCTATTCACACAAAATTTTAGCAAAAACAAACAAAATAAGACCCTGCATGAAATTGTATGATTCAACTTTCATATTCTGAATGATACTTACTTTATCTTGAAAAAATGAACAATGAAAATGCACCGTGCTGCCTGATATTGACAAAAGGTGCAATGAATTTTTTGGGTCTGTATTTTGTATAATGACCTGCTCCATCTTTGGCATTCCTACAGATCTGAAAATACACACAGATGTCATAGGTTAATTAAATCTAGCATCAGATATTTTATATAACAAGATGAGATAGGGGGAGAAGGGGGGGAAATAACTTTCTTTAGAGTTCTGAGAATCTGTCAGCAGCTTTGGTTCATGCTTAGACCCACATCTTCATAACAGTTATATACCTTATCATATTATGATGGTCAGTAGTCAATGATAAAGTACCAAGGGTCTGATTTCACAATTTCTCCAAATTCATAATACCATGTCTCTCAGCTGTTTATTGGTCCAGACATTCAATTTGAAAAGATCTGACGTAACAATTCTTTGATATACATCACTTTCTTTTTCTTCCATTATTTTTATCAATTGAAATAAATTGTTATCAAAAATCCTACCAAACACTTTAAAATGACATTAAATGTTGGTACATTATTTGAATTTACTGTATGTACAATGTATTGTGATACACAATGGATAACTGAATATATATCCATATATCTCAAACAAGAAACAGATGTATTCTGTCTTTCCATTTCCTTTTCTTTTTTTATTTCTCATTCTCATTTTTTCTAAATACAATTGAACAGATCTTTTAAGCACCTGTGCTAGGAACCATAGAAATTTGTCACAGAAAAATATATTATCACCAATGAAATAAGTTGAGTTCTTGTCCAGCACTTGAGGGATTTGGAAAATTAGCGTTCCTATTTAAAATCAATAATTGTTCCATACAACACATTGAAGCGTTGTTATGGCAACCCCGTGTTGTCATGAACCATTCAGAAGGACACATTTGAAAATGGAAACTGTAGCCCGTAGTGCCTTGTGTGACACTTGTCGATAAATGCAGAATACTGCCACAGTGTCGTTAATGGATCAAAATGCCAGCTGATTCGCAAAAGAGCCGCACACACATGCCTACACTTCAAGTCAAACAATTCCCAGATAATTGATTAGGCAACCCTTTCTTTTTCTTACGTACATCTTCATCATGTCACTCTTAGTGTACTCTCTATTACAAGTTACGGGAATCAAACATGCTTGTAAACAATGGCAAGCGGAAGGGGAGAGCAGGGTTGAAATGTATAGAATTAGATGGACAGTCAGACAAATAAGATTGATCACAATATATAATGCCAGCAATACCTCAAAACAAGGGCTGACCCTGACCCATTTTCAAGTCAGTGTCAATCTACAGTTTCAAGCTTAACTTTGGTTTTCATGTGAAATTTTTTGGTTCAGATTTTTGTTAATTTTTTAAAAATTTTTTGGTGAAATTTGCACTTCCAAATTTGGTATGTGGGACAGGAATGAAGACCAAATAGTGATACAATTAATCACTGCTCTTCATAGTCGATATGAATGCCAACAGGTGGTCAATTCCATGATTCTGTAATATAAAATATGTTCATAGAATGGTCTGATTTACCACCAGACTCAACACCGGTAGAATACAGTATATATCACATGAACTGCCCATTCTCTCATGTGATATGCCTGTGTTATAAATATAAAAGGTATATTTCAATGTTTTGACTGTCTCTGCAATAAACGCAAGTCCAGTCGAAATTGGTGTCTTTTAAGAAAATGAATAAGTCTTCTTTTCTAATGAATATTTCTTACATGAGAAATAGAATATCAAACATGTCAATACCACATTTTAATTGCTTATTCAATATAACATGAGCATTCATATAACACCAACTGTGCAGCTACACTGAATATCCTGGGAACTGAGAGCAATAGGCCATTTTTTATAAATGTTTAAATGTGTAAATATTTTTTGTATATGTGGACATTCAGTGGATAAATACAGCAAATGGAGAGAAAAAAAGCAGCATTCAGTTTGAGTTTTGAGGGGCCCAGTGCCATCTGGCCCCCTTCCAGGATTATCTCTGCAGCCAATAGGATGTGATGTGGTTTTCAATATGCTGTACTTACTGTTCTTGAAAATCCAGCCATGGTGGATCTAGTCGTATCGATGAACTTTTAAATAAGATATCCTCTGGACTGAAATGACACCAAAAATATACATCAATACATGGAACATTTGATCACAACAAAGAAGCCACAAGTCATTTTCAATTAGCAGGCTTTTTTTTATTATTTTTTTTTCATTTGGTGGTAGGGGTGGGGGAATGGGTGGGGTAGTTTACAAGTAAAAGCTTCATGTGTAGGAACTCAGTTTTGTTGACAAAGATAAATGTCATTTTCATGACATCATTTATGTAACTTTCCTTCTATTCTTCTGAAAGAATGGTTCAAGTTTGATTAATTGTGAATAGCTTTTCATCAATCTTATTCATTCCTTTGACAAAATGTTTTTTTCCACAAACATAAATGACAATATCACTTATATATGAGGCCTGTTCTACTGATACATTATTACAAATTTCTTTCGGAAAATATTTTCATTGTTGGTTAAAGGGATATGCCAAATGAAACAGAAATAGGGTATAGTGTATATATCACTATTTCAGTAACTGTATGATCTATATAGTGTATATATAAACTCTGTCCAAATTTATTAGATATATTTCCTGAGCTCGGGGCCAACAACAAATTTCCTGGTAAAGAGGAAGCAATTTCCAGTACATATCTTCTGAAAAACATTGCAACATACATGATACAATGCCACTTAATGAAAAGAATGTATAGTATTTAATAATTTCCTAGATCTGTTCAACCTAACAATAAAGTTACAGGTATAAATAAGTTCTATGTGTTATGGCTAAAGTATAAAACAAAATATATGTTTAATAAGTATTGGGCATCAAGTGTTGTTTATCCGTTTTTCACTATGATGTCTAAAATCTTTTTATCCTCAATCCTCAATGAAGTACAAAACCAAACTATTCCAACCAGAACTGTTTCATACTTCATTGATTCCAACCAGAACTGTCCCATACTTCATTGATTCCAACCAGAACTGTCCCATACTTCATTGATTCCAACCAGAACTGTCTCATACTTCATTGATTTCAACCAGAACTGTCTCATACTTTGTTTATTACAACCAGAACTGTCTCATACTTCATTGATTTCAACCAGAACTGTCTCATACTTCATTGATTCCAACCAGAACTGTCTCATACTTCATTGATTCCAACCAGAACTGTTTCATACTTCATTGATTCCAACCAGAACTGTCTCATACTTCATTGATTCCAACCAGAACTGTCTCATACTTTGTTTATTACAACCAGAACTGTCTCATACTTCATTGATTCCAAACAGAACTGTCTCATACTTTGTTTATTCCAACCAGAACTGTCTCATACTTCATTGATTCCAACCAGAACTGTCTCATACTTTGTTTATTACAACCAGAACTGTCTCATACTTCATTGATTCCAACCAGAACTATCCCATACTTCATTGATTCCAACCAGAACTGTCTCATACTTCATTGATTCCAACCAGAACTGTCCCATACTTTGTTTATTACAACCAGAACTGTCTCATACTTCATTGATTCCAACCAGAACTGTCTCATACTTCATTGATTCCAACCAGAACTGTCCCATACTTTGTTTATTACAACCAGAACTGTCTCATACTTCATTGATTCCAACCAGAACTGTCTCATACTTCATTGATTCCAACCAGAACTGTCCAATACTTTGTAGATTCCAACCAGAACTGTTTCATACTTCATTGATTCCAACCAGAACTGTCCCATACTTTGTTGATTCCAACCAGAACTGTCCCATACTTCATTGATTCCAACCAGAACTGTCTCATACTTTGTTGATTCCAACCAGAACTGTCCAATACTTTGTAGATTCCAACCAGAACTGTTTCATACTTCATTGATTCCAACCAGTACTGTCTCATACTTTGTTGATTACAACCAGAACTGTCTCATACTTTGTTGATTACAACCACAACTGTCTCATGCTTTGCTGACCCATAGAGAACAATGTGACATTATTTTATATATATGATGTATCACTAATAAAATGGAAATTTTGTCAAGTGAAACATCTAATGCAACAGAATTGCAAACAAATGCTATTTCATTTCTTGTAACCCCCCCTCACTTATCTTACTTAAGCCAGATGGAATGTTGTCCCAAGGGCTTATTACAGGACACACACATTACTTCACAAATCTTCTGTGAAAGCTTTTGTTAACCACTCATGTCCCTATTCAAGGCAAATATTTTTTAAAAACTTTCCCTGTTACATTAGATTTGAAAATCTTGCCATCAATTTAATTTTTCTCCCAGGTAAGAAATGCCCCCCTTCCTAAAATAAACCCAAAAAATCCCCCCAAAAAACAAAAAGTATATAATTGTGTGTATATTGGGCAATGAAACTTTACAATCAGGTGTATCTGTACATGAAGAAGTTCTGGTGGTGACAAAATGACAGGATATATATCAGGAAGATAAAAGAAAACAAAGTTGTTATCCTGTTTCCCTGCGAAACATATTACACTATCCTACGATGGATCGTCTTGGTAAGTTTATGGTGTGGGTATGTAATAAGTAGGTCAACTATTTATAGCCCCAGGGACTACACAAGATCATAACAACAAACACAAAACATAAGCTTTTACATAAAAGTGGGTCACAACTGTCAAAACATCATAAACATTCAACAAAATTTTTGTTGAAGTGACAATTCAACCACAATTTTAAAAGAGGCGGAGTTTTATGTATACATGGAGTTAAGCCATTGTTGACAACTATGTAAACTTGATCACACTCTACAATTTATTTGTACTGATGCATGCTGGTTGTCCCTGAGCAATTCTGGATAAAGGATTTCTTTTTCTGAAGCATCTATGAATAAGGCTAAAATTTTTTTTAAAGAATAACAGCTTTTAAAATATTGAATACGTTCTGTATGATCAGCTTGTAACAACTTGCAGGCCAGACTTTAAACGCTATTGAAACTTACAGATAACACCAGGAAGTTGGATAAAAACTTTTAAGTGATCTAGCTAGGTTGTATACAAACAATCTGGAGAGCAGTATTGTCTGTTCATCAGGATATACCTCTAGTGATGTGGGGACTTGTCTAAGTAATGTTATGTACACAAACAACAGTCAACATATCACTTGCTTAACTTGACGGGCTAATTTCTCGTTAGTTTTCTGGGCTTTTGCCCAGTGAAAAACAAAGATAATTTTGTGGTGTTGTAGCTGGTACAGTTCTGAACAACATACAGAAGGTCCATTATCAGCCAAGCATAGCAATTCGGTTAAAGTGTCTTGTCAAAGAACAGAACCAGAAAAACACAGATTGGTCGGTTTCTCAGTTTCTTGAGAAACAAACTGACATGGGTAGGGAGTGTCATACCACACACCTTGAATCTTCACCTGTAGCTACAAGTCATAGGTCTATATTGGCCTAAAAATACAGATAAGCCATAAAACAATAATACCTCTAGAATTTTTTCAATAATATTTTATAATGACAATGATAACATAACGTGACATGCCCCCTTACTTGTACCTTCTGCTATGCAAAAAACTAAGTGTGAAAAAAACAAAAAGTTCAATGACCTCATCCTGGATTTTAACAAGGCCCTAATACCATCTAAAACTAACAATAAAATGTTCACTTCTTTCTTTCCTGTCTGAAAGTGCAAATTATAATTTGATATCACATGCTTTTAGGACATGTGACATATATAGCTTATCAAACACATCTTTCAAAAGATGTTCAAAGAAGCATTTAGACGTAAGAAAGAAATGTCACACATCCTTTGAAAAGATATTTGACAACAAAAATAAAAATACTATGACAATAAGATAGTAGATTTTTGTTTTTAACACCCCTTCCATGCATTTCTTGATCATTTTTCTTTTATTAAACATGACTGCTAGTTGACAAAAATGGCAAAAAACCACATGCAATATGTGATTACTCCTGGCATTCCAATGTAGCTGTGTTAAACTCCTTTATGAAAGCTTAGGCTTTAGGTTGCTAGCAATTGCAGCCAGACTGAAACAAGGATGTTAACATGCAGAAAAAAAAACAACCACTCAGATGATGAGCTCTATTGTGTGTAAATAGTAACACACAAATTTAAGTTTGTATGGGCCTACCTCCAGACAGATTGAATAGGAGCGCTATGTCAACACTTCCTTAACCACAGCAAACTGTTCCTACATGTACCAAGATCTAAACTTTCTTTATCAGTACAGAAAAATGATCTCAAAATAAATACAAGCAGAATTCCAAATTCTATTTACAGATGATCCTATATAGAATTGTATTTTAACAATAAACAAATCTAAACTATACACAAAGAAATGCTGTGATAGGTTATCGTTTTCATCACCGAAGAGGTTTGATAAAATTTGATGATTATCTGCTTTTTAAGAATGAATGCTATTTTGTTTCAGAAGGATGTGACAGAGTGACATGGGAAACATTATATCTCCCTACCCTTCTCACAAAAATGTAAGGTGGGGGGAATTATATTCCAAGGCTGATTGTACAGGTAAACAATATGTGACTATATTGTGACCTAAGTTGAATCATTCTAAAGGTATGTCATGACCGCAGCTGTTTGTACAGGTGAGTTTACACAATATCCTCCCTGGGCGTCCAGCATCAATGACCAGTAAATTCATTGACTAATGTGCGACCAGCTAACAGATCAATATGGTGGATAGGGTTGACAATAAATGTGCAGGCATTACAGAAACACTGATCAGCTCCCTCTGGCATTTGTCCATTTATATATCACACCATATGTATCATTACCATTGTCTGTGATATACATCCTCATCTTTAATATCAGTTTCTCATTTCAAAACTCTCCAATTTACTGTGTTGCACCCTATTACTAAAACTATATCAACCAGTTGTTAAGTATCTAATTTCAAAGATCAAATTTTCAGGTTTTTAAAAAGAAGCTGCAATTTGTTTCTCTATTTCATTGAGGATCTCATTTCAAATGTTGAAAGGCTCAGTATCCTATTTAAGGATATTACATTAACATATCATAAAATATACTTTATGAAATGCAGTATCTATCTACATTGTTCA